AAGACATATTTTCAAGATATAGCAATGCATCTAGTGTGATTTGACCAGAAGTAAGATCTACTTGAAAAAATATTGACAACAATCGTATTTAAGAAATTAGCAAATTATATTGAAGTTCAAGAAATAAAAAGTAGTGTCATTAGGGGAAGTAAATACATGCTGTACTCTTTTTTGCTTAATCAAGGTTTTGTTCTATTAGGTTTTCTTGGTAAAGTTTTTAATGAGATAGCATTGGATAATGTACACATGAATGATATACTCTCTTCTTTTCCTGTTAGATTTTTCTCCTATAAAGTTTTTCCTAATCGAAGTTTTTAACAAGGTATATTCTTATACAATAAACATCCAAAGGATTATGAATATGAAGAATCACGTAAATGTCCATCTCCTGTGTCTCTTCATCTTTATCTTCTCCCATAAAACTCTCACCATCCTAAATGTTGATTATGCTTTATTTGACAAGCATGTCAAATAAAGGTGGACATTTGTGACGGTGGGAGTTCTGTGGGAGAAGATAAAGATGAAGAGACACGAGAGATAGCCATTCATGCTTATAAATAGGGCATGTCATCTATATTGTAAATGTGGAAGAGAATATAGAAAATGCTATCCTTATTTCCGTTATCTCTATTCCTCCCCCTCCTCCTCCTTATCTTCTCATTTCCATTCTCTCTATATTTTATTCACAACATATTTGGCATTTCAAGTTAATGGAATTAAAATTTCTTATGTGAAATTAATTAAGAAAAATAACAATAAAATCTATTTAAATTATGTAAATGATAAATTAATGGATCCCCTGGAGTCTTAAGGGATGTTTTTATTATTAGAGAATTATAAGAAACGATACTTTTGCCCTTTATTTAAATTAAAAAAATTCACAACTTTTTATTTATAACTTTTGTTTATATATTAACAACTTTGGTTTCTAAATTTACAACAACTTAATAGATAATTGTAATTCTTGATCTACGGGTCCTGATATGTATTAGGTGTTAAAAATTTATAATTTTTTATTCACAACTTTTATTCCTATATTAATAACTTTTATTTGTAAATTCATAACAATTCAATAGTCATTCGCAACTCTACATTTACAGGTTCTGATATACATCAGGTGTTGAAAATTCATAACTTTATATTCACAACTTTTGTTCACATATTAATAATTTTTATTTCTAAATTTATGATAATTCAACAGTCATTCATAACTCCGAATATATAGGTTCTAATATGCATCAAATTTTAAAAATTCATAACTTTTCATTCACAACTTTTGTTCCTAAATTAATAATTTTTATCCCTAAATTCGCAACAATATAATAAAGAATTGTAATTTATCAATACCTTATATAAATTGATCAAATTAACAAAAATGAATTACCACTATAATTTAAGAAATAACAACTTTCATTCAGTTAAATGATAAAAAAATTTAAAAAGTGACAACTATTTAAGGTTTTGTTATTAGTTATATGATCTACAACTTGCATCAAAATACAAACAATCCTTTTGACAAAAATATATGAAGGGTTGAATCTTCTAATGTCATCCCAACATGTCAACCATTCTCATGCCAACCTGAAATAATAAAATAATCATTCATCAACATATCTATTTTCCAAACATCATAATCATATATCTGTTATGCTTAATCTAACAATAACTATTCTTTTTTATATTTACGACTTTGTATTAGTCGTTTATAATTTTGGTTTATGCATTTACAACACAACTAAAAATAATATATTATTTATTATTTATCATTTATCCATGAGTAAGCATCCATCCCACGTACAACAAAGAAAATCAGAAAACGAAGATCTTAGTCATGAAGAGAAAATGAAGATCTTAATCATTTATACACATTAACCCACATCAACTTCAACTATCACATATGAGAGGAGAAATTTTTAAAGAGAAAAAGAAATTTATCCACATACTGCACAGCTAATAGAGGAATCCATATATAGAAATTCAAAAAGAAATAAAACAGATGAGAAGGAGAGGGAGAAGAAAGAGAAGGAGGAGAAGGAGAAGGAGGAGGAGGAGGAGAAGAAAGAGACAGACCGGAAGAAGAGAAGAGGAGGAGAACAAGAAGACAAAGCAGATTGATTTACATTCAGGATTGAGATTTTTGTTTTATTTGGGAGTAATTTGGTCATTTTTTTATTCCCTAATGACAGAAAAATTTTATGAAACTCTAAGAAAATTATGCTATTTCATGGGATCAATCTTTATTTATATAATTTAAATAAATTTTTTTGTCATTTTCCCAATTAGTTATGGCAAGTGATAGGTTTTAGTTTTTAATTTATTAATAAATAATAAATTATAAATGAACTAAAATCACCAGTAACAGAATATTGCCTCGAGGAATCCTTTGAGAAGCGTTGACTAATACTTAAGGTGCCTGTGTCGCAAGAAAATTTAAGGTCGTTTTTCGCCCAAAAAAAAAAATCTCTTCAAAATATATAAATAATAATTAGATATCATTTCAATAATTCTTCTCTAATCTTTAAAAGGTTTTTGACATTGATATTTTGAATGGAATGCCTACAATGCCACCCATTTAAAATAAAGAAGGTAACTGATATGATCCTAAGGTCATATTTGCTCGTTACCAAAAAATAAAATCAAATTGATTAAAAATATAAAAGTAAAAATAATATGATTAAAGAAAATATGTGAACACATTTATAAAAAGAAGGAATAATTTAATTCATAAAGTTAAAAATAATGAATTATAAGATTTTTAAAGGGTATGATGACATTTATAATATATATTAATACGTTTTATTATACTTCCTGTAAAAAAAAAGATAATTTAATTTATTTTATTATTAATCATTTTAATCTATTTCATTTTATTCTAACAATCACACCTACTTTATTTTCCTTATTTACCTCCGTGTCTCTCCCTTTCATGGCTGCGTCTCCATCTTCTTCACTCCTCGAGACGAGAGTTGGGATGCACACTTTTGGAGACTGAAAAGTCCGGCCAAGCGAATGGGAATTCAAAAGAACTTGGCATTTACCCAGATGAAAATTTAAGGAATGAGGATCTACTGTGGAAAATATACCATCACTGCAAAGGACAAAGATGAAAATTTCATTACAGTTTCACAAAAATCCGAGAGAATGCATTCACAGAGAAGGAAAGAAAAACCTTGTTGACTGTTGTGAGCCTCCTGGGTTAGACACATCGTCACTGCAAAGGAGGATTTTAATTTCAGTGGCACAGGGGAAATTGAGAGGTATTATTCTTTTGGTTTAAGTCATAGCATCGGATAACTGTCAGGATATTGCTCATCAATTTATAATTAGGAGAATCACATTTAGCCTCCTTCAAAAACATTAATCACAAATAAAGATTAATATGAAATAAATTATTGTTAAAATGAAAAAATAACTTTTTTGTTAATGAGACTTGTTATTAATCCTTATTTGTGATTAATTTTCTTGAGGAAAGTTGGATGCAATATTTCTTTCATAACTTCACTTGAATGTTCGAGCATTGAATTAATAACTCGATGATCAATAAAAGACCTATAACTAAAACCACTTCCTCTGGGTAAATGCCAAGTTTCTTCGAATTCCCATTTGCTTGGCTGGATTTTTCATTCTCAACCAGCGCGCAAACCCTCTTTCCACACTAATCTGGGCACATCCCAAGTTTCGTCTTGAGGAATGAAGATGGAGACGGAGCCCTGAAAGGAAGAGAAACAGTGGAAAACAGGAGATCAGATAAGTTTACCGTCTTTATTTTAAATAAAAGGCATTATAATCATTTCATTCAAAAATTTGATGTCAGTCTCAAGAAATTTAAAAAGAATTATCTAACTATCGTTTGTATATTTCAAAGATTTTTTTTTTATCATTCTTCCTATTTTTAAATTTTTTAAAATCATTTTACTTTATTATTTACAAATCCATGTAGCTTAACAACAGAATATTGTCCAAACTCTTAACAAAAATGGCTAGTCATTTATAATATGATAAATTAAAATTTAAATTTTTGTTGAGAACAATACCCATATTTAATATCCAATTATATTTTGAATAGAATTATTTTCAATAAAAAAAACCTACAAGTAATTTAAAAAATAAAGAATACTGTTCTTACAACTTTTCTCATACTTGCAAATTTTACACATAACTTTGTTTTTTTTTTTTTAATCTTTTTAAGGAAAAGAATCCCCCCAATGCGGGGTCCGCCACTGAAAGGGCCGTGCACGTCCAGGTCTCTCAACAAGGAATACTAATAAAGCAGAAGTAACGGAATGTTCCGTTACCGTGCGATGCCTCCTTCCATCGTTTCCTTGAAGAGAGAGGAGGTAGGGAAAAAAGGCTGGCAGCCAAAAACAGGGGCCGAGGCCGGTGAAGCCGCTCAAGAGAGACAGCGTGGTCCAAGCCCAGCCAACCTCAAAGATTGGCATTATCCATCCTGATCCTCAATTCGTAGTGGCTCCCAACATGAAAATGCCAATCTGCCGTACATCACCGTCCGTTCCAAGCTTAAATGCTTCCTTCCTACCCACGTGGCAAAATCCAAATTCTCCTGAATTATTATATATGCATGCATACCAAGGCATCAGATTCTCGTTTGGGATTTATTTAAAACATAAAAATCCATCAAAGGCGGGTCGGATTAAAAAGATGCCATACCTAGCCGAGGGCCCCATTCGTCACCTGACTTGGCACTCCACCAAGCTCCATGAGTACACTTGAACTCGAAACTCGAAGAAATAATTCTTCGTCAAGTTGCAACAATTTATGGGCGCGCCACGTCATTACTACGGATCACCCGCTTTGATTGATCGAATCATTTCATAAAAACTATCTACAACTGTTTTACACGCTTCAATTCTTCAAGGCGGGACAAATAAATAAAAAACAAAAATGAGAAAACAGGGTGAAAAGGGCTTCCCCCACCCACCCCTACTCGCGGTCTTTCTTCCCCAACAAATCAAGTCCACCCCCATATGCCAACATCTGCATCGAGAAAATGGGCGGCAAAACCCATGTAACTGTCATTTGAATATGAGTAACGGCTATATGTGAAAGGCCAGCGGGAAAACGCTAACGACTTTTTGAACTGAACATGTGCCACCCAACATACAATTCCTTTCCCTAATATATCTTATGTCCAGGAGTTCTAAATCCCTAGAGACTAACCATCATTCTATCCAAAAGGAGAAGTTCCCTGCTTCCAATACTTGGAAGACATCAAAACAACATGAACATTGAGACAAGTTAGAATGGCGCCTCAGTGATGCTTCTTTGATGACTTACTGCATGCCACCCCATCATCATCATCATTGTTCTCGCCATCATCCTCATCCCCATCATCGTCCCTCTTCCTCTTGAGGTTTGAAGAAGCTGGAGGCAACACTTGAACATCCTCGTCGTCGTCGTCAACTTCCTCCTCTTCGCAATCATCGTCATCTACTTCTTCCTCATTCTCACCATCATCATTTCCCCCATCCATCTCACCACTCGCGGTGTTAACTGCCTCAGCCTGTCCCACAGGCTGAACAAGATATCCTGCACCGTAATCTTCTTCCTGAGACTCAAGAAAATTTAACATTCATTAACAAAAGGACATTTTAATATTAATATTCATTATTTATATAATCGGTCATTAAAAAAGTAGCTAAAAATTCTAGTAAAAGCAAAATAACACAGCTTCACGGTTGCATCAATTTCCTATAACAGAGTCAGCAATAACCCAAGTATTCAAGAAACTCTAATTGAGCATTCTTTAATCATCCACTAATTGTGAAAAACAATTAAAAGCCTACATAACAAAATTACAATATTCGGTGATGATTTTCTAGTAAAACCTTCAGAAGACCGAAACTTAAAGGAGACACTTTCAAAAATATAAATAAGGACGGGATACCATAAGCACAGAAAATAAAATAGACAAGAAATTTCCAATTATCACATGACACCACATAACTACCAATTTACCAACAAAATAAATTTACCAAGTTCCAGGACATGCACCCTACGTTACGTTACAATATAAAACATAAAAAAAAGTCACCAGTCACTGGCCCATATCTGATCAGAATAAGAGCATTAATACGACTAAAGCAAATCCCCAGCCTGTGTCCCACCTTATTCCTAGAGACCAGTATACAAGCCAGGTCGCAGGACAACAGGCATATCCTGGAAATTATTGCATTAGGCATGCTCTAAAAACATGCAAGCAGACCAAAAAACTCATCCAGCCAAGGGATAACGAAATAAGAACAAGTATTTAAACTACAATAGCACCATCAACTGCTAGGACGTTTATCTTATTTTCCAAAGTAGATGCTCCCATTTGGATTATCTGAGTCATATGATAGTTTAAGACCAACCCCAAGAAACCACACAATATAGCACCAAAAAAAATTAAAAAAAAAACAAACAAAGAATAAAATACAGAATTTGGAAGGCTTAAGCACACGAAATAAGGTCTACTTTAGCTACTGAGTGACAGGTAAGTCACCGCCTGAAGCAATCTGCGTAGCTATGTATAACTAAGACACACAATACAGCTCTCAAAAAAATACAAAGAAAGAATAAAAACACATAATTTTGAAGGTTAGAGCACCGGAAAAAAGGTCTACTTTATCTGGCGGGTGACCGGGACGAGCTGAAGCAATCTGTAAAGCCATGCATAATCGAAAAAGTCTTCCAAAAACAAAAAAACAAAACAAGAAACAGAAGTTAACAAAACGGTGCTTAAATTTAGTTAGCAGCCAGCAGTCAATACAATTTTATCACAATCAGTGGCAAAAAAACAATCTTCTTCTCTTGAAACAATCAGGCATCAATCATCATCATCAATCAATCAATAAATCCAACAGAGAAACTAGCATCAAGAAAAGATAACCAACCATTCAAGCACATGCAAGTAATAAATAAATAGCATGCACGGTGAGAGAGAAAGTTCAAGCAGAAGGGCTATATTACTTCATCATCATCTTCAAATTCTCCATCATCTTCAACCCCTACCTCGTCTTCACCAGTCTCTCCATTGTCATCTTCATCTCCAACATCCTCCCCTTGCTCATGCCCATCAATCTCCCCTTCCGTGCTAGTCAAGCGGCCAGTACTCTCAGGCACGGCAAAATCCCCATCATCATTGTCCACTTCCTCTTCCTCATCTTCGTCGTCCTCATCGTCCTCATCATATTCAACTCCATCCTCTTCGTCATCACTGTCTTCAATTTCATGAACCTCAACCACATCATCATCATCCCCCTCCTCCTCATCAATCTCTTCCCCTGAATCATTCTCTTCTTCCTCATCACCATCCTCGTCATCCTCCTCAACATCATCACCCACAACCGGTGCAACCCGAAATCCATTAGCTTGATGGCTCAAGCCATTTGTCCTCCTTGAGGTTTCGGTCTCCTCCTCATCAGCGTCACTCTCTTCATCCTCCTCAGCATCCACAACCCCATCAACCCCCTCGCTATGTCCATTGTTTATTCCAAATGGACGATCTTCCCCATCAATTTCTCCACTTCCAGGGTCATCCTCATCGTCCTCATCCTCCTCTTCCTCGTCATCAGACTCGGGTCTCTCGTTCTCTTCTGCATCCATCTTATCCAAGTACTTAAGCGATTTAATCAACCCAAAAACCCTAGATCGGTAATCCTTGACCCGCGTGACAGGACACTCGTACAGATCCAGTGAAACAAGCTTCAGCTGCGCAAGTGGCGCAAGATCTTCAATATATTGAATCCGATTATTCGAAAGATCTAGATCTCGCAGTGAATCAAGCCCTGCTTGAACAAGAAATTCGAGGCCTCCAGCAATTCGGTTGTCGGAAAGGATCAACTTCTGAAGATTCTGAAGCCTTGGGAACTGCTCAAGCGACGAGACGCCTATGTTGGCAATAGAAAGGTGCTGAAGGTTCTGAAATCTCTCTAGCAGGCTCGGAGGCGGCAACCGACCTTGTATGCACTTAACTGCACCGTCAAGGGTTAGGGTTCGAGCAGAGGCGTGGTCCGCCTCCCCCTCTAAAGCTGTCTCCACAGCCCTCTCCCAGATCTCATCCATCAAATAGGAAATCCTCTATCTCATACAAAGCGACAACCACAAATAGAAACGCTTAAATATGGAGCCTCTACACAAATCAACTAAGTAATTCTAATAATCTTAAGAATCGCAGGAATCTAAACTGCAGCTACGAAATTTGTATAAACCAACGAGCTTCCACAGAGCAAAAATCTAAACCAAAGCGGCGGTTCAATAGAAGCCAGAAAAGGGAAACCCTAAATTTTGCAGAGGGTACGGTCTCTACGATGGAAATTCAAATAGTCGGAGAGGAAACACAATAATTTGCATACACAAACCTTCTCTCTCTCTCTCTCTCTCTCTCCCACCCTCCTATTGGCAAAGGAAGACGGGACGGGATAAACCTCTGGGGCAACGGACTCGCGGTTCGGGTCTAGGGTTCTTGGGGACAAAGGCTAGGCCGTGTGGTTCTAGGCGTTAGTGTCTGATTGAAGACCTGTAAGAGCCGATGGATTTTCCATGCCACAGATCGGTGACGTGGAAAACAATGTACGGCTGCGATTCAAGGTTTGTGTGTTTGTTTTCGAGAACGGTGTAGGCTGTGCAAAAGCCGCGGATCAGGGTCGCCTTCGACACGTCATCGAGGATACAAATATCCGTAAAGGTACATAACATATATGCCTCAGCGTCTAACTAAATTTACGATATTGCCATGACCGTCGAAACCAAACTGGACCATACGCTGCGCGTGAATGAAAGCCTGGGGGAAGAAACCGTGACGACTCCACTTTTGAAGGCCACAATCAAAATTTAACATGCGTTTGATTTTTAATTCATCAAAAATTTATTTATTAAAAATTAATTTAGTAAAATTTAATTGTAAAAAATTTTAAGTTTAAATTTATTTTTTAAAAGTAATTTTAATAAATTAAAAATTATTTATATACTTTTGAATGTGAAATGATAAAAAAGAACATTGATTTATAATATTTTATAATTTTTATTATATAAATATATTATATTAGAAATGTTTGAAAAATGTGAACAAAATTTAAAATAATATAAAATTTAATATGTTAAATAATAAGAATAAAAAAATATAAGCATGATGGTCATTTATAAAAGTATGTATAAAATTATTCTCCTCATAATTGCTTTAAATTTCTGTTTGCAATTTAAAATCCACCATAAAATAGAGTTTGCAAATTCACATTTTAAATTCTATCTTAACCTACATTTAAAAATTCATTTTGCTCATTTAAAAATCACCCAAACAGCTTTTAACAATTAAAAAGTTGAAAATTGGATTTCAGATGCTAAATATTGATGACCTAAACGCAACCTTAATTTTTTGCCCGGTAACGAGTCCGCTAAACAAGAACACATATTTATTTTGATTTAATAAAAAAATAATTTATTTAAGAGAAATGACAATGAAGTTGTGTCAAATTATATAAATGATAATTTAATTTTTTAAAATATAATAATTTTATTGAAATCTTTAGAGACTTATGTATCACTAAATTTTAAAGTGAAGAGATCATTTTAATCCTTATTAAATATAATAAACCTCAATCATAACTTTTATTTAAGAAATAATAACTTTTGTTGTGTGAATCATAAGAGTTGAACAAAAAACTACAACTCATAAAATGTAATTTTTATTATTAAAAACAAGTTCTCAAAATATTAAATCTCAATAACAACTTTTGCTTAAGAAATAATCATTTTTAATCTGTAAATTGTAAATGTTGAATTAAAAATTACAACTTATCAAATGTAATTTTTCATATTAAAAAAATAAGTTCTTAAAGTAACAAGTCTCGATTACAACTTTTATTTTAGAAATAACAATTTTTATTCAAAGAATTATAAAAATTGAATAAGAAATCATAACTTTGTAATAAGGATAAAATTATTTTTTTAATTTAAAATTTATTGATATAAAAGTCTGTAAAAATTTCATTTGAATTATGACACTTTGAAGGATTAGATTGTAATTTAGATAATTTAAAAATAATATTATTATTATTATTATTTTTAATCCCAGGAAAAAGATAACATGATGCATAATTTCCTCGGCGAGAAATTAATTCGAAAAATGTGAAATTTGAGAACCCCTGACATGGATGCATATTATTATAGTTTTTAGTAAAATTTCAATCTTAAAGTCTAGAATATGAATAAAATTATAACTCTTCCATTGAAACATATTAACTATTCCAGATAGCAAAATCTGATAAATATAATGTTAATGAATAATTTGTTTAGACTGAAACAACAATAACAATAAGCCTTTATCTCACTAGGTGGGGTCAGCTATATGAATTGCAAGATGTTATTGTGCTCTATCATTTATCAAGCTTTTAGAAATATTATTAATTAAGAGATCGTATTTAATAACTTTTAAGAGTGTTCTCTTAGGCCTTCCTCTACCCCTCTTAATTGAGCTCAAAGTTATATATTTCACTCTTCTCATTGGTCCCTCCCGTGGTCTTCTTTGTATATGCCCAAACCATCTCAGTCGATTTTCTATCATTTTTTTCTCAATAGGTGCTACCCTCATTTTTTCGCATACGTGTTCACTTCGAATTTTATTTTTATGTATATGTCCGCACATCTATCATAACATTCTCATCTCTACTACTTCAATTTTATGTTTTTGCTGTCTTGTTAGAGCCCGACATTTACTACTATATAACATGGCTGGTCTGATAGCAGTACAATAAAACTTTCCTTTAAATTTATTAGGTACTTTACGGTCGCAAATAACTCTTTTAGCTTTTCTTCAATTAAACCACCCAACTCGAATCCTATGTGAAATATCTCCACTGATTTCGTCATCATTTTAAATAATGGCTTCCAAATATATAAACTTTTTCACTTGAGGTATAATTTGATCTCTCAATTTTACTTTCAAATTACTGTCGACTAGTCTCTTATCAAATTTACAATATAAATATTCCGTCTTACTCCTATTCAGACAGAAATCTTTCGACTTTAATGTCTTTCTCCATAACTCAAGTTTATAATTAACCTCTTTTCTTGTCTCTGCTATTTTAAATTTGTTTAGACTGAAACAAACTTAAAATTTAATCTAGTATTCTATCAATCAAACTAAATAGTCTAAAAACTAAATTATATCTATCTATTATATAAGTATAGTATAATAATAAATTTAAAAATCTCACAAAATTATATATGAATAATATAATTTATTATAAACAATCAATATAGCCGACTCACTTTGTGAGATAAAATTTATTGTTATTTTTGTATAATTTATCATGAACAACATGTATTTAAGTCTATTTGTTTTGATTTGTTTTAAATAAAGAATATGTTGGATGTAATGTTTTCGTTGATGACAAATCATTAAGTTGGAGGTACAAACACAGTTTTGCTTACAAACACACACACACACACACACACACACGCATGATTTTCGTCAAATGCTCGTTTGACTGTTTTAACTAAATTAGATTTCTCAGACTGAATTTTCCCAGCACCAATTTCCACGACTCTATTTCAGTTACTAAATTTCTATCATATACAAATGAATAGGTATATTTAACTTGCGTTTGTATAAAATTCGAAATTAATCATACTTATCATACTCATGAAGTGCATAGCTTTTTATATTTTGTATTAATTAATGCTAATTGACAACATTATTCATTATTATTATATTAATGACTAATCCTGACAAAAGGCGCATCCCTAACTAGTGATGCTTTTAATGTAAACTTTTGAGCAAGTGAAATGGGAGAGGAGCAACTCCCTATCTTTTATCTCCTCTCTGAATCCTCACCATTCATCAAATTTGTAATCAAACTAAATTTATTAAATCAAATCAAATCAATAGCGGGGATAGGGAAAAGGGGGAAAAAAGGAGAGAAAATAAAAGGAACCCCTCTCTCTCTCTATCGAGTGAAATTGGGTTCAACTAAAATCTCATTTCAAGTACTATATATTTCAATATTTGCGATGTACTCACGTAATGTATCCAAAAAAAAAAAAATCCGATAAACAATCTATCTTGATAATGGATAAAAGTAATAGCATTGTTTCGCTACTTTTAAAGAACTCTTTATATTTTCTATTGATAATTATTGATGATATTAACTGATGAACGATAGTAATCAAATTTAGAAAAAGTACCTATGCAAAATGAGATTAGAGTCAATTCCATACTCAAGAAGGATCTGCACCGACAACGTGACTTCCTACAACTTCTACAATTATATATAGATAAGGATATAGAGATATCGATTTTAATCAAACAGGTGACAGCCCAGAAATAAATTGAAGGGTTTATACAACATACTATACACCGGAAGAACAATAGCCATTCCATCTTGACAAGGCATCTGCATATCCCAGTTCCTTTGTGCGCAGTATGACAAGGCATCTGCATTGATCAAACATTTGGAGGCGCAGATGAAGGCAAAGCCGAATAGGGCTTCATAACAGGGCCAGCAGACGACGCAGAAGGACTGCTAAGATGGTTGGGATTTTGAAAAGGATTAATATTAATACCATTTGTGTCTTCAGACTTCTGTTCAGGCTGTAGGTGGTTATGCTGCTGTCCCTCAATGTCCATTCCTTGCAAAACATTTCGACCTTTTTCTCCTGTAATTTTATGATTACACGCCCCAATAGGAAGCTGGGATTGCCACGAAGCTGACTGCTGATTCAGTGTCGAGTGGGTCACGCAAGCATTGCTCTTACTTTCAACATCATCTTTCCCCCTGAGCTGATGTACCATGACTGGAACGTCATTCGATTTGCTAGGTTTGATTTCTATTAGCTTGTCTCTGTCCAAAGCAGAATTAACATCTATTGCATCAACCTTAGTTGCTGATGAACGACCTGAAGCAATTACAGTAGTAGGAAATGCCCTCTCGGGAGGAACAGCTGGTGTATAATTAGAGGGAAGCAAATCATCCCAATTCTCTAGAAGTTCCTTGTACACTTTACGAAGAGTGACTTCAGTAAGACCGGTCACCTTGCAGATTTCTGCCTGGGTTTTACGCTTGTCTTCAAGTTGGCAGGCCAGGTATATAGCAGCGGCTGAAATGCTAATAGGATTCCTGCGTGTGCAGAAGCATTTGTTGATCACAACCTCTCCTATGTGAGTAGCCAGTTCCTAAAATGCAACAAGAACACAGTTTCTCATAAGTGCGTTTCCATGTTCATTCTAATATTTTGTTTTCGGGGCGCGGGGATTCCCATATTAGGCCTAAACTGGGAAGTCGCTTCCACAACTTCAGCTAAGAAACTCAGCCCAGAGCCCCACTTTGTCGAACTAAACAAGAGGGAAATGAATGTCAAATACCCTCCTATAAATATATAGTAACAGTATAAAACACGTCAGTGACAGAAAGCTCATTAACGGTCAAGAGAAAAAGCTGCTCTCCGAATAAGAAATTTGATACTGGAGAAAAGGGGGGTGTTCTCTGGAGGAACGAAAACCAATTTGGAGTTGTTATTAAAGTTAAAATTGTCCTTCTTCACCAAAAACAATCCTTATAAGTAACACCAAAAGCACTTCTGACCTTTGTTTAAGAAAAGCTCGTCCAAACAGACAGCTATTCTGCATACTCATGATTCCAACTTTATCAATCTTTTCAATTAACACTATCACGTTAAATGTCTCAATTCTCAAAGTAACGGTATTGATAACTACCTGAGCAGATTTATTAAGCTGTAGAAGGGTACAAAATCTAGGCATATGGACTGAGATAGAATTGCTATTAATAGGTTGACTGAGCTGCAAAGCCTCCCCTAATATCTTGATGTATTTCCCAATTTCCTTTTGTGGCACATTGGCTGCAATTGAAATTTCCTGTCATAGAAAATATACAAAACTTAGAGAAAAACCGAGAACTCATGTGATAACCGTAAAACAAGGTCAGACAGAAAAAACGATGCTTTATACCTAAACTATCCAGTTTCATTTTTTATATCCCGATAGTACAATATTAACTATGGGTAATCTGGAGAACATTCTACCACAAACTAGAGAGCTTATCACAGGGGCGAGTCAGCAACCACAACATTATTGTTTGTGAGTGATGTAAATGCAGGATAACTAGAAAAACATTGCAAAATTTAAATTTGATTTCCTCTAAACGAAAAGTTGTCCAAATTGGTCTCATATAAAATCATAACTTTGTAATAGGCATGGTTATTTAATTGCAATATTTGGCCAAGTTATTAGTAATACTAAGCTTTTGTAAGCATTTACAAATTTCAAATTAAGGAATAAATAGAAAATTTTTCTCTTAAAGGAAATTGAACTGCAGTATCACCCCAAATTCTATCACAAGTAAATAGCTCTTGTAGGGTGTACCTTCGTTATTAAATAATTTGCAGGCAACTTGCTATCTTCTTTAAGTGGTACAATGGTATCATCAGCTTCATTTATGTTTATAGACAAAATGTAAGAGAACAAAATTTTAAGTAGTTACAGAGGAATAGCGTGCTAATATATATCTTTTTGGTGGACGAAAGAAAGGCTAATGCCAAAAGGTACAACAGTGGGTTGGTCAAGGACCCTACAACACCATTGAGCACAAGAGCTCCCACTTTATCCAGAGCTACACCATAACCCCAGATATTAGCCCATGATTGTTCAGTGTTGTTGCCAATCTCTTTCATAAAATTAAGATGAGGCCACCCCTTCAACTTGATGCTTAAAAAAAAAACATATAACCGAGCTGGCTTTATCAAGCTAAGCGAAACCTCCTTCACAAGAAAGAAATCATGCAAAACATGGAGTGTCTTCCTCAAAATCAATACAGCATTAGCAGAAAGAAGGAGATAAAGACCAAGTACTCCTTTTATTTGACAACAACCAAATTCTAAAAGGCAAGCCAGAGAAAAAACTGCAGTTTCTCGAATCTATTCCTCTTCCAGATGGCCTCCTATGGACCCTCTTGAGCTAGGACAGCGTCACTGGTAAGCCATTTATATGCATTAGCAACAGAGACTACCCCGTTACTGTTCATACCCCCACTCTAACAACCTCACCAAATGAGAATCAGGGGGTGCAAGACTCTAATATGATCAATGACAGAAGCCAACAAGCAAGCACACATTCACAAAAAGTTTATTCACCTAAATCATTGACCCTGTCCTTAATTAAGCTTGAGTTGAGGACTTCCCCCTCAACTCCATGGCAAGCATCTAAGTCTTAGGTGCGGTGAAGCCCACTCATCCTAAAAGATGAGAATGGTCCCATCTTTGACGGTCCACCAATTTCCAGCATCAACAAGCGGTTTTTGTTGGCATATGAATCTTCAAAGAGGCGAATCCCCATTCTAATAAGTCGGATTATTTCAAATTCCCTCTTCATTTCACTTTACTCATGTAAGATCCATCTACCCATAAACCATTCCAGGACATATAAGAAATATACTTTAAGGCTTCTTGTTTAGGAAGGTGAGATACTGATAAGGCCCCACGCCATTTACTCACCTATAGCAAGCGTAGAAAGAGGACTAGGGCTCAAGGGGATAGCAGAGATGGGAGATGCAGCATGTGAGAAAGTGGGAGAATAAGGGCAGTTACCTTCAAGTCATTACCCATAGCACCACCTATTATGGTAGTTTATGAGAAGTTATTATGCTGTAATCTAGGTGCAGTTATCAGCAGTTACACTGCATGTATATTTTATAAATAGTAGCATGGGACACGATAGTGTTCAGACTTGTCATTGACCTTTGTATTTGGAGATTCTCCTTAGTGCCTGCTTGGTTCAGCAGCGAAAGCCCATATAACCTTGTTTAAACCCATATAAGTGATTATGAAGCCCATTTGCACCGTATGGGTAATTTTCTGAAAACCCTGATCAATCATGATTTGGATTCTTTGCGTCATGTTGAATAGAAGCTAGTAGGGGGTGCTTCTGTGTCGAAAAATCATGATTGGGTCTTTGCAACTGGAATTTCTCCAATCTACCCCCCGCCCTTGTCTCCTACTCTCTCTCTCTCAACCCATTTTCCTTTAGTCTATTGAAACAACCGCTTTTTTAGACTCTTATTATTTTCTTCAATAGAATCTCTCTATATTTCCCTTTTTTTCGGCCAGACCCCGTCATTTGGTATCAGTGTCCTCTGGTCCAACCATTAGTTCTAGTCACTTACCCATTGTTCCTAAAGAATCCATAACTTCACTAGGCATCTCATCATACACTTCATCCACTGATAATATATGGTTACATTTATCTTATAGCACATCTTGACTTGGCATCACTAATGCTACAATTGCTATACTACAAACCCCTGGAAATAACTCCCAAGCTGGGCAAACTACCACAATAATCCAATCAATCAAAGGCAGAGGTAACCAAATACAACCGCCAATAAAATCTTACTACCGCAAATTTAAACAGAGAATAGATTTTACACTCGGAAAGAATAAACAAACCTTATAAATTTGAAATGTAAAAGACGACGCTAAAGATTTCCGTCGAAGTCGAAACAAGAGGGAAGGGGGAATACAAATATATGAGAGCACAAATTAGAAATCTCACCTGAAGGGTTCGAGGTTCTTGAGCCTCTCTAATTGCCTGAACAAGAGCAGCAGTGGCAAGCGCTTCGACACTCCGATTTCTCAAACAAGTAGCCGAACAACAATCCCTGAATAATTGAAACGCATGGTCCGAGATATCGTAGTCCAACCCAAGTATCGACGCGACATCAATAATCTGCATGTACGCCCTCAAATTGTCAACCACAACCGTCGACGAAGTTGAAGACGATGGTGTCGAGGACGAGGATGAAGACGAGGACGACTCGAGAACCCTCTCAAGCTCGGCGAGGTGACCAGAGAATGAGAGACAGGACTGGAGGTAGAGAGGGCTGGGCTCGAGGGACCAAGTGGAAAATGCAGTGATGAAGCCTGTGGGCTCGAAGGGGTCATCATCGTCCTGGCTCTGATGGAAGGATTGGATGGAGGGGAGGTCCGGAGTGACAAGACAGAGAGGATTGTCTTGTGCGCGGAGGTGGAAGAGATGGTGAGGATGGGATTGTCGCTCTTCAACAACTCGGCCGCAAGATGTGCACTCTGATATGAAGCGGGCAGAGCTGGTGGTGGCGCTACGCCCTTGAGCCGCCGCACAGTAAGGGCACTTCATTTTCTTCCTTTCCTCTTTCTCCAAATGGATCCTCTGAGGCCTGTGCTCTATCTGTGCTGCCAGTGGATTGCGCATTTCAAAGTATAAATGTTTTAATTTCAATTTTTTTTACTGAAATTAATTACTAATACTTTATGATATGGTGATTAATACTTGAATGTTTTTCAAAATTCGTCATACTTTTTGTATGATATCTAAACCGTGCGTTCCGCAGGATTCAGTCTAGTTGTATCTTAATCTTTGTAATCGTTGTGAGGGATCTTCCCCGGACATCGGACCATGTAAGTCTAAAAATTGACTCCCGCTCACAAGTTCTTCTGGTAAGAGAAGAATCTTACCGTTTTCGAATTTAATAGAAGCCATGGAAAATATAAAAAAAAAAAGATATTATGAGATATTAAGAAAAAAGTTGGAAAGATATTAGGAAAATACTCATAGAATATTAAAAGATATCGTAAAATCATTTATTTCGAAAGTAAATGCTTATATTGATTAGTTTGTACGAAATGCATACAGTTTAATCCAACAATTAAGCGTAATAACGAAACCATCTATAAAGCGTATGGCCCTTACGGGCTACGATCTTAATCATGGTCCTATAAGTGTAGATTAATTTATCATCATCGTCATCATCCAACCTCTTATCTTTTTGCACGTAATTCAACTATACGCACATGATACATGTAGTTACTAGCATGAGTGTGTGTAATCAAATTTTGTGCTAATGTGATTGTTGATTTGATTTTCTTTTTTTTAGATCAATTATCATTTCCTCAAGAATAAATAAATTCTCATATTTTTGGCCAATGAGAAAAAATAACTTTCGCAATGGGGAGAATTTTCTCTCTTTTTCATGGAGAGCCTTTGTCTATCTTATTTGCTCTAGCCATCTTCTTTGCCCTTGTCGTTTGTCTTTTGCCAGAGATCAGTTTGTCTCTTTTCTCTTGCTCCATCTCCTTCTATCTTTGGTGTGTTCCTTTTTTTCTTCTTTCCCTGTTTCCTTCTTTTTGGTTTTTCCTTGTTCTTTTTATGTCTCTTCTTTTTCTTTCGTTTTCTTCCCATTGATTCTATTTTCTTTCGCCATAATATCTTTGTTCTAGTTTTTCCTTTTAATCCCTTTTCAATCTTCACCAACCGAATTTATCTTTTGTCGTTCATCTTTTTCCCATATCACTGCCTCAAGATGTATTCTTCTATCCTTCAAACACTGTCATTTTCATCCACCTTTGTTTTACTCTGCCCCTCGTTCCTGACTACTGAGCTGGGTCTTCTCTTGTTGTTGTCCCTTTGGAATCCCAACTTGGAGTTCATTAATTTTCTCAATCCTTTTCTTCTTTTGCTTGACAGTTTCTTTTTATCCATGATATGAGTGACGTCATAGATATGAGCTCTTCGTTCTATGGGAAACATAAAATGGATAGTGCTATGTTTCTCTGTCTCTTTTGTTAGGCTACTCGTTTATGTGTTCCAATAATAGTCAACCCTGTCTTTGGATTCTTGTTCGAGGGAGAAGTTGTGGCCTTAAGACCTCTAGCTGCCTTGTGCAAAGCTCTGGTTTTAATTTGCTACTTTCTGGTTTTATGCCTTCTCGAGAACTTTGAATTCTTTGGTCGGTACCTTTTTGGTACGTTCTCTCTTTAAGACAGCGTTTGAATGCTCACATCTAATACTAGTTGGTCTTCACTTTATGAGCAACTAGTACTCTCTCTCTCTCTCTCTCTCTCTCTCTCTCTCTCTCTCTCTCTCTCTCTCTCTCTCTCTCTCTCTCTCTCACACACACACACACACACACACACACACACACAGACTCACTTTATTTTCATCCTATTAAAAAAATAAAAAAATGAGTAAATTATTTTATACTCTTTTTATTAAAAAATGTAAGGTATTTTTAATTGAATCTTACCCCTTAATAAAGTAATCTTTTTTTAAACTAATTTTATTTTTTATATTTATCCTTATTAAATACCCTATAATAAATATAAAATCATTCATCAATAGAGACACTTGAAAAAAAAAACAATAATTACACATTAAAAAATTAAAAATATCTTACATTTTTTTACATCAGACTCTTTAAAAAATAATTTACATTTTTGAATGAAGAATGCCTTTCAAGATAGTTAAATAACCCTTAAATTCTAAAAATCTCACTACTTTATCATTAGAAAAAACACACACACGGAGGTATATATTCATATATGTTAAAATTCATCTTAGATTGAATTCCAAACCTTGGCACTTAACATATTTTATAAGTACATGTTGCTCGGTCAATTATAAAAAGGTTGCAATTATAATGTATCAAAAAAGTAAATTGAATTGCTATTTCATTTCTCTTTGCTCTCCATGTTCCTTTTTTCCCTTTTTTTTTTGGGTAGTGATGGCCTTAGTTTGCAGGAAAAATGTCAACGAAGGATTATCAGTTAAAATTTATATCAATTAAAAATTATTTATTATCAAAACCAAAATAAATACTTATTAATTTAAGTTAATCTTTTATCAATAAATATCTATTTAAATTTTAACAACCAATTTTAAATTAATAACAGTTCATTAAGACTTTTTTTTCATTTAAATTTTGACAACCAATTATTGATTAATATAAATCTCATTTAATAGTCCTTCATTACTATTTTCCCTAGTTTTTATTATCTCTGTATGATTTAAAGTAAATTATAATTTTCATGTTCAGTTAAATAATGTGTTTAAGACAAATTTCAAATATTAAGATCGTCAAATATATTTTTTTCTTTTTGCTCGCTGAAATATGCATGCACATCCATACTGATAAAAAAACATAATTTTTCAAACAGAGCAAAGTATTAAGTATGATTTAATCATTCACCAAATGCCTCCTCTTATGCTAGCAGCTTGATAAGTATTTTGTGACAGCTACAAGAATCAAGGAACAGTTTTTACCTACAGGAAGGATTAAGAACTAAGAGAGGAAATGTTAATCTGGCAAACAAAAAGTGAAGCAGTAATGATTGATTAAGTATCCAGGAGACTCCTGACCATCTTTTGTCAAAAGAAAATAGAAAATAGTGGAGTTTGCTATGATTTTAACGAGCTGAACCTCGAAAAATATTTTTTGGCATGAAGCAATCTGTCCAAGAGGTCGTGCTTCAATTTACTAACCCTCACATTGTGAAGATGTTGAATGACCGCAAAATTTGGAAAAATACAACCTATAATAATAAAAATGCATAATTTACCCAATCATAGAAGCATTGATAAACGAAGTATGGCTTGGCCGATCACTATCTCTTCACAAACTTCTCACCTTGGATGCTCCACATTCTTCTCACCCTTAAGCACGAGTAATTGTTGCCGCTTCTTTACCTTTTTTATCTTGCTTGAGGCTCTTGCTAAATTCTTGTGCTCTCTGCAGTGGTTATACAAAGTGAAAAAAATATAAGGTCATAACAGAAGCATTAATCAGATCTCAAATTATGTTAGGGCAGCTGAAAAGCTTGTATAAATTAGCATCTTCAAGGTTACAATCACAATGCCTTCTGATATAACATATAAATCAGCAAAACTTGCGGTCTCATCAAGATATGTTAGATTGTCAACACGGGGATGTTTATTATTTATGTAACACATTAACATTCTGATAAACTTCAATTGGAACATCATCTGATTCTCCTTCCCTTCAATGTGATGGACTAACTTTCATCAGGACCTTACCCTCACTGGCTCGCTTCCAAACACAAATACATCAAGGTAATCAAACTTGGAAGAAACAACTTAAATACATCAAGGGACCAGCACAATCATGTGAGCTACACCGTTACAATTACAATCACAACTCAATCTCAACTCATCATGAAGGACTAAAACCTTAAAAAGAGAAATACAAGTCTAGCAAATCACCTTGATAAATTATGGTAATTTTCAGAAATACAAAAAGAAACAATGATCACAAGGTACTTAAAAGTTACAATGAGTTCCTACAGAAAAATAGTGAATCACGCATTAATAAGTGTTTTCAATAGCCAAACGAGTATAAAGCGCATCTTTCTTAGCGTGCTCACTTTTCTGCAGTTACACTCTCATCTGTACAGAAGCATAAATAAATAGCCTTGAGCTGAACCTCTAAAGCTGAGCACCATTTAAAGAATGTTGATGAAAAAATCTCAAGAGGGTTACAATAAAGAAGAGCTGCTGGAAAATTAACAATCTCCAAACGTCATAATAAGAATTTCTTCTTCTCTACTTAATATACTGTTAAAGAATCAATTCACGCACTTATCTGGATGCTACTGATAGTACTTGCACGGGGTAGGAATCACTGAAATGTCAATGTTGAATGTTCACACAACCTTTGGAAAGAGTTTAGCCCAACTCTTCTGAGATAGAAAAATTAATTATCTACAGAACTGTAATTTGTGTGAAGGATTTCAACTTTCTAAACAACCAAACCAAAAAGTGGAAAGGGAGGGGGGTGTGTCTATGTGTTAGAGGGAGTACAAAGAAACCAGGCTTAAACACCAGATAACTAGCATTCCAGTTTCCGAAAAACATAAGACAAAAACCATTACAAGTGCAACATTATTATTATACTGAAACGAAATAATTCACATTCAGTCACTTGGGAAGACATGCACACATATCAAAATTTTATAGATTAAAAAGCGGACTGATGTTTTATGAGATGGTCACACCAACAAACAAGTCCAAATCCAAGATAGCAAAACGTCAGTTCATGACAACTGAATATGATAAAGAAAGATGAAAAAATGGCATAGATCTGTTGTCAATTTGGCATGAATCACTTACTTAAAACTAGCTGTGACAACAGCGCGATAAGTAAAATTAACAACAAGAATAAATGCAATAGTACCCTAGAAATGCTACATAAGTCATATCCTGGCATCAATCTCCTGATCAACCTGCTCTTCCAGCATTTATCAGAAGAACAGAATTCAAGATGGCACTAATAACAAGTTAAGCGAGTTCCATTAAGCCCAACAAAAATTCTGCACAATACAACTCCATACGAACTATATCTGATAAAAGATTCGAGCGGATTTTTTGTTTCTTTTAATGTCACCAAGAATTTTGACGTCCTCCGCGAAAAAAAAAAAAATACTAAGGAAAAAGGAAATCTAAGTAACCCCTCTAGAATTAACTACAATCTATTTACTAATAACGACACGATCGTACAGAGGTTTAAGCTTTTGCCTATAGTATAAGACCATACCACAAAACCAATATTATACAAACAATCCAGTAAAGAAACTTAAAAAGAGGTCCTGCAAAAGAGGTCAACATGAAGGTTACTAAAAAGCACCAACCGTTGATCGGATGGGAGGGGAGTCGAAATCAATGGAGTGCACAGACATCTTGGCGATCTCCGTGATGGCGGCCTCTCTGACCCCAGGCACGTCATTCGCCAACACTTCATAGGCGGCCTCGAGTGCCTCCCGCCAGAATCGCGGTAATCTGATCCGACGGCTGTTGGTATATACATCCCACATGTGTTTCACCACCTTCTCCCTCTCTTCCATTTCCTGGACCACAAACCAAAATTTCAAATAACTCCCTCATATTACGCATGAAATTCATAGAGAGATTCAGAGGGGCGAAAAACTTACAAGGACGTCAAGGTCGTCATGGATGGGAGTATCGAGGTCATTAGACAAACTGTTGAGACTTCCTGACCACCGAAGAGATACAGTGCCGGTGAACATGGACCAAAATGCGAGAATCAAAATGGCAGCCAATGCCCAGAATTTATACTTCCCTTTGCCAAAAAGACCCGAATCGGCACTTTCCTTCTTCGTAAAGGCTGTGGTTGTTGGAAGTGCGTCGTCATCTTGCATTTCTTCGATCCGAAGAGAGATTCGAGGTCGATTTTAATTCAATTCTGATATTAAAGGATGGAAGCTTCCTGCTTCCTCAGATTTGCGAGATGGAAAATGAGTCCGATCTGATATGTGAGCGTGTTTGTTGTTACTGCGATGCACCACTAAACGAGAGAGGCAAAGAATTTATCTGTAGAAGTGGTTCAATAGAGCTTACTCCAATAATGATGCCGCGGAGGACCAAGCGACGTATTTTCAGCCAACATGGACACCGCATTAAAGTGTATGGCTTTTGATTACGACTTCCATCAGACGGGGAATAACAGTGACCCTCGATTTTGGAAGGGCAGCTAACTTTGCCAGACGTCGTAGGGCAGCCGACATCGAACGGCACCGTTTGATAGGCAAGTTTTATTTTTCGTTTTTATCTGGTCAATTCCCATCATGTCTGCGTGCGGCGGTTAGATTGTTAGCCGAGAACTTTACACAAAACCTAAAATAAATTATATATATATATATATATATATAGCAATAAATAGAAATGTGAAATTATAAGTATTTTGACATGGATGGTGACATTCTTCGGGATTTTTAATGCCAAATGGCATTCCCCGAATTTACTGAATTCTTTTGGACAATTTGGTGTCTTGTGGAGTTTTGGTATATTAAAATGTTCAAGTGATGGCATGTTTGGACCAAGAAATCAAAAGTTTTGGCCAAGTTCTTGTTAATTTTATGGTTTAGATGTATTGTATTTAATAATTCATAGCTTTCACTTTGGTAAATTATTTTTTTCAAGGGTGAATTACCGCTGCGCTTTTCTTAAATCAATTTTTCGAAATTTGTATTTGGAAACAGTTCTATTATCAAGAATAACTTTGTTGAAATAAAGACCAGTGGTACTTGGTGTGATTAAAGTGTATACTATTGATACTAATAATATAAAAAGTAATATTATCAAATATCGATACAATCAATGCATATCAAGAGTGGGGAAAAAAACTTCGTTGGAACAATTGCCGTCACAGACCTCTACCCGTGCTTGCCCCCGCTTGCTGTCTCAATTGCAGAAATATTAAAAGGTTCCTTCTCACCAAGGAAACTCGTTAAACATTTTGTGTTGGATCAGTTTCAGAGGCTACATTCCTACAATTATTATTATTATTTTTAGTGAAAAGTTTCTCCATCTCTTCCAATGACCTGCCTTTGGTTTCTGGTAGGAAAAAGAAGAAGAAGGCCCAAGCCAATGCAGATATTCCAGCAAACATGAAGAAGCTCCCACCAATAGTAATTGTCTTGTTAATTGAAATAAAACTCATAGAAACTGTCGCATTCACCACCCTGTTCACGGCTACTCCAATACTCGCCCCTTGTGCCCTCAACTTCAAAGGAAATATCTCTGAGCTGTACACCCAAGTGACCGGCCCAAGCCCAATGTTAAAGAACCCAACTGTAGTGTAAGTGGCCGCTATGCTGAGACCCAAGGCCCATACGAGCATCTCTGCAGCATGATCTGCCATCGTCAAGCTCAGTCCCAGGACTGAAAGTGCACAGATCATTCCCCCCAGACTGATTAACAGGAGGCGTCTTCTTCCGACTTTGTCCAGCAACACTGTCGCTATGATCAAACAGACAACCTTTGTAACACCGATTCCGATCACTGTGAGCAAAAGCTTGTCCTTAGAGGTGACGCCAGCTTGCTTGAAGATTCTTGGGCTATATAACATCACGGCCTCTATGCCAGTCGCGTGCTCAAAAAAGTGAATCCCCACGGCTGTAATCAGCATCCATCGAACGCAAGGCGAAGGCCTTAAGATCAACTCTTTCCAAACACCTTCACCTTGGGACTGTGAAGAAACCTGAACAACGTCCTCTTGGCAAGCCTCGTCAATGCCGGCAGCGACTTTTATATCCTTGAAGCGGAGTTCAGCTTCTTCTGTGGTATTAGAAATCTGCAACAAGACTTTCATGGCTTTTCCTAGATTGCCTCGCATGACCAACCACCTCGGGGATTCTGGCATTCTCAGGATGCCAAGAGCTAGAGCAAGGGAAGGAATGGCTGCGATACCCAGCATCAATCTCCAACCAAGTTTTAAAGGTAATTTGCCGAAGAAGTAGTTTGAGACGTAGCCGAGAAGGATGCCTGCACCGAGACAGAGCTCGGGAAGGGAGGTGAGAAAACCACGGGACGACGCAGAAGAAATTTCTGCAGAGTAAAGAGGGGCCACGAGAAGGGCAAAGCCTACTCCAATACCAGCAGTGCACCTTCCCACCATTAGAACGGAGTAGTTTGGGCCGTAGCCCATGAGAAGTGAACCGAGCAGGAAGAGGATGGAGGCGAGGGCGATGGAGTACCTGCGACCTATGTAATCAGAGGTTCTTCCAGCAGTTAAAGTTCCTACTAATGCGCACAAGTTAAGGATTCCTGCTAGAACCTCCACTTGAGTGTCGCTGATTTTCAGGTCTTCCTTTATGAATATCATAGCTCCACTCATAACACCCGTATCTGAAGTCATGTATCGCAATCTTGCATGAGCTTTTTTTCTTTTTGAAGTGCAAGGGAATGTAACTGATAAAGTCATATTTTAATTGAAGAGTTTAATCACAGATACTTTATACTATAGTAATAACAGAAGGAGTTCTTTTTTCTTTTTTCTTTTTCTTTTTCTTTTGACAAAAATAACAGAAGGAGTTCTAATTGAGGTTAATTCATATTTGAAAGAGAGAAGAGAGGATTGATAGAATTTAATACCATAGCCGAATATAATGGATATCATGGAAGCGACCAAAGCACAGGCAGAAGCATATTTGTTGAAGCTGCTGTCATCTTCTCCGCCACCTTTCTTCATTGCATTCACCATACTTAGGCTTTTTGCTCTCTCTTCCTTTCTGTATCTTGAGTTGCTTCCCATGTGTTTACGTCTTTGCCTGACTTGAGACCGTCGTATATATAGTGGATTGGGTGGATTAAAAAAGTATTTTCTCCTTAATGGGCGAATAGTTCCAGTGGTTCCCACTGTCCCAAGACACGCTATCGGAATATATTATTGAATGAGACACATAATCTCAAATCAGCCAGATTGTACCATTGTATTTGTGGTAAGAAAAAGTGTATAATGACTCTGAAATCTCAATCAATTTTATCATTTAACGATCCTCGTAAATCATAATTAGCATCCCAAATCTTGACGGGTGTAATAAAACTGTTCAAGTATTAATTAGTTCAGATACGACTTGACCAAATCGGACCTGTTTCTTGATCTGATCCGTTTCGCTGGATATGTGCCTCAGCTCAGGAGGCATCCAACTCTGATTTAGGTACGCAAAATGTTAACACTTGAATAATACATTCATCCGTTGGATAAAAACATAAAAAAATATCATTAGCATGCACCATCCTAGATATCATGCTTGGACAATCAAGGGAGCCTCTAGAATTTTTCAGTCCGTGCATGGGAGAGGATGTTATGCGCCGTCATTTTCAATAAAATGGGATTGAACAGTCATGGGCAACAAGAACGGAGTAATACTATCACTATGAACAATTATTTCCATTTTTTTCTCAAACGAGTCGCTCCTGTGCTGATCATTTGACGTGAAAATTAACTCTGATAATGTATTACTTGCTAAATATAGGGAGTTGGTGGATACTACAGAATTACCAGAGACACGCGAAACACGTAATACAAATGCACCTAAAAGTAATTAAACAGGTCATGCATGCGATCTTATCACTATATCTGGCATGTGTTATTGCTCAAATGACTTATAGGAACCAGCCTTGCCCTTTCAGCTTTCCACCATGGATAGTGGAAGCACTAGACAATGGTTCGATGAAGATTTAGGTAGTACCTGGGGGGGTATATAACTAGGGACAATTTCCATGCAATTCATCTGATGAACTTATCAGAAAGAGACTTGACATGCTTGTGTGGAGCCAATTATTATTGTTTTGAACTTAAGTTCCCACTACATAGGCTCCCAATATTAATGTGTGTGTCATAATCTGACATCACTGTTGTGCAGGACACAAAATCGTGAAAGGGAACTACCACAGGAACTACTAAGGGACGAAGCATCGGTTCTTGATTGATTAGGCCTTTGATCGATGAACTCAATGCTGGATAAAACCTTAAAGGAAAGTTCCCGAGTAAAGAGGATGGTTCGGCCGGTGAAGGTTGTTTTCAAAGAGGCTTAGTGCGTTCACAATCCATGATAAAGAGGGGCCGAGAATATAGTGGGCCAACCGCATCATTTATTTCCTGTCTGTGTGAAGTATAAGGGCTATCAAAATTGACTTGTATTGTAATATCTGAATTCAGGAAAACAAATCCATCCAACCTATCAATGCGTGGATGCCACTGACAATAAAAAATTACAACTTTTATCCTCCAATATTGTTTGACGCACGTATTTGATTTGACAAAAAAAATGCCTCCAACCAGCACATGTACCAAGAGCTGACCAGTTTTGTAGACTTCTATTGACCGAATTGATGGACATGGGCGGTTCATCTAACTACCATATTGAGTCCATCATATTGGCAGTGGCTTGGCAATAATCCCCAAAACACGTTGCGAATTTGCAAGAAATATTTGAGACCAATTTCCGAATACATAAGCTTTTGTTATCCAACTTTTCAGTCAAGTCTTTGAATAGTTATTGTACACAATCAAGAACTGGATCGTCCTTACCTGGTTACAATGTAAGATCCTCCTAAATAGCACAAATAAGCTAAGAATCTGAACGATGACAACATCGGTGAAAAACCTCCACACCAACAAAATAACGAACACAGCTAGGCACGCGCGCAGATCAGTTAGAGCACTTTTCTTTGTTTTTTTCTCAATTAAACTCTTAAGTTTATCAAATGGATATATTCAATATGGGGCCGGGAGGAAAATTAAACTAGAGAGAAGGCATATTTCCCAATAATTACAATCCTTTCTTTAATTCCAAAATTGAAGCTTGATATCAGCACAATCACGAAATTGATCATTACGAACCCCTTCATGTTCATGCATTTTAAATATATATGCATTGATATTGGCATAATAATTTGCTCATATGTAGACCAACACACACACAGATGAACCCGCGGTATGCTAAATACTATATATCATCTGTAACTATGGGTCGGTGTTGCACTCTGCTGATATGTTCATTTTATCAACCTCCGACTTACGATGTCTGCCAAAGATGATGCCCATGTCTTCCAACGATCTTCCCTTGATCTCAGGCAAGAAGACATAGCAGAAGCACCAAGTTAACACAGTGATACAAGTAAACATAAAGAAAGTCCCATTCATGGCGGTTATTTTCTTATAAATTGTTACAAAACTCAATCACTGCCACCCTCGAGATTCTGCTCACGACTGCACAGATTCCAATCCCTCGTGACAGGCCCCCACCCAAGAGACATCAAAGCCACAAAGGCATAAACGGAGACGATAATTACTTGTCGGCCACAATAGCTTCACTCTGGAATGCCCAACCACGGTCAAGCAAATACTCAATCCTATCAACCTGACAGCCATACCCCCTGAGCTGATGAGCAGCAGAACCCTTCTCCCTAATCTATCCAACAAGAACCCCGAAATGAATGTAAATATAAGTTTGCTTATTCCCATTCCAAGCGTGGCCAGAAGCAGCTTGCTCTTGCCAGTGATTCCAGCTCTCTCGAGGATTCTGGGACTGTGGAGAACAGTGGCATCGATTCCGCACAGACGCTGGAAAGCGTGGATTACTACGCCTGCAATTAGAATTCTTCGTACTGATGGTGAAAGCTTACACAAGAGTCCTTTTGAAGCTCCTCCTCCACTCCTGGTTATCTTCGCTACCTGGTTAGTGGTTATGCATGAAAACAAACTCGAGTTTTGAATTAATAGTCATATACTTGTCAAATATGAGAACGGATCTCCAAGTACTGTTTATGGTATTAATTACAGGAACAACGTCTGGTCGCAATTTTCATCGAACCCAGCTGCGATTTTTATAGTCCGCAAGCGCTTTTCGTCTGCATGGTCGAAATTAGAGACGAGTAAAAGCACCTTTCTGGCCTCACCAACACGACCTTGCATGGCCAGCCACCTCGGAGACTCCACCGTTTTTAACATGAGAGAGACTAGCGAAGGGATTGCAGCAAGGCCAAGCATCATCCTCCATCCGAGCCTGAGGCTCAGGGTTTTGAAGGAGTAGTTTGAAACGTAGCCAACCAAGAGTCCCACGTTCATGGAGATGCTTTTGAATGACGTCAGAAGCCTCTGGAGGAAGGAGGTGAGATCTCTGCGCAGAAAACAGGTGCTATCACCAATGAAAAGCCCGTCCCAATTCCTGAAGTGCATCTGCCCATTATTAGGATTGGATATGATACGCCGTAGCCCATCAGGATGGAGCCCGACATGGAGATGAGGGAAGCTGCGTTGATAGTGTAGCGCCGACCTATGACGTCAGAGATTCTGCCGGCGGCCAAGGGTCCTGGAAGCGCACAAGCATTTAAGATGCCTGCTAGGAGCTGTACTTGTTGGTCACTGATTTAAAGCTCCTCCTTTATGAATAATTGAACTCCGGACATAACACTCGTCACTGAGAAGAAGATTAATTTGTTATTAGCGAATGTTTGAATTTGGTCGCTGATACTCTCGAGCAAGATAGCGTTGCTTTGCCCGCGCGCGCGCGTGAGAGAGAGAGAGTAATCAGTGGAGAGGGGGAAACTCACTGTAACCACGTATAATTGAGATAATGGTGGCAACTATAACAGGAGCGCAAGCATACTTGTTAAGCTTTTTCAGACCTTGATTATCGACACTGATAACGTTCTCCATTGGTTCTGTGAAGTGTCTTTTGTGTTTCTCTTGCCCCGGACATCTTGCGATCAACTAAATTCTTACATGGAATTACGTTGTCGTTGATTTTTATGCAGGGGAGAGATGTTCTCTAGTTTCACAATAAGACAAAGATTTTTTTTTTTTAGAAGATGGAATGTGAATGAAAATTAATTAATTTTATTTGGGATTAGTCTATTAAGATTGTTTGAATAAGTACACTGAATATCCACTAGATTATTTGGATTTGATTTAGTATTTAGAATTTAATATTATTTGATTTAGTATTTATAATTTATTTTTGACTTTACCAAATAAAATCAAATATCTAGACTAGCTTAATATTTTTTCGCCATCTTTTATATTATGTAAGGTATTGAAAATTGAAATGATTATTAAATCGATAGAGATAAAGGGTCAAGGGTTCAATCAAAAGTTAAATCAAAATTAAATTGATCATAATAAAATAATATAATTCAAATAAAAACTCATTAATCCTCAATACTTTCATCCATATCTTTAATATATCATATGCCATACAATAAAGTTTAACAATGAGAAAAAAAATTCACATGATAATAAAATTAAAGTGACAAAAATAATAATAAAATATAAACATATAATTAAAAAAGAAATAAGAATACAAAATTTACAAGTTAAAACGTAATAAAAATACATGTAAATAATTAAATATATAATTTTAATTAATGAAAAATTAAAATATGTGAATCATGTAGTCAGTAGTGACAACTAGAAAACCCAGGTCAAAAAAAAAAAAGTGACAACTAGAAAACGTGTATTGGGAGATGGGATGAACTTATGAAGTGATGCATCTGACATCTCATTTCAATAAAAAAATTTAATAAAATTATTGTGGTCCGTTATGGGTGGAAACTTTCAATAGCAGTGTAGTGTAATTAGCCTGAGTCGTTCCATCTCTATGTTTGCCTCGATGGAAGGAGGACGCAGAGAGAACCAGTAAACGCTGAAATGAGAACGCTGAAGGAAGGGGGAGAGAGAAGCTGCACCTAAATTGAGTGGGGAAAGAGAGCAGTTTGTCACAATTTATGTTTAGATATAAGAAAACTCATTAAATTATCAAACTTTTGGAGATCTTTAGGATAATGAAAAAAAAATTTCAAAGTTTTTAAGAAGAATTCAGTATATTTTAGAATGTTTTAAAAATATCTAAAATAATCTAGAATTATTTAGAGAAAAAGATTTAAAAGTTTCTGAAAAATTTTAAAAACTTATGGAGGAATGTGAAAATATCTAAAATATTCTATAATGTTTTAGAATATTTCAGACATATTTTAAAGGTTAATCTCTAAAAACATCCTTGCAAAATATTTAAATATTTATTGTAAATATTTTTATAGAACACTTTAGAAGATGTATGTAAATTGTAGGATTAAGTTGATCTCCACCGTCCATTAAGGAGTTAAAAATTTTTTAGAAAAAGAGATAGACTTATAAATATCCCCACAACTTTCATTTATAAACAAGCAAAACAATCAAAGCAAGCATATTAATACAGCTCTCAAGTAAATTGACCTCCTCTCTTTCTTTTTCTTTCCCTTCTCTTTTTCACTTCCAATTTTATATCATTGATACTAGAGTTAGAATACATTTAAAAAAATCCCCATACCCCTAATTTGTCCAAACCATCAAATTTTGTTATCAATGACATTACTACAAAATAGGCCTACTAAAACAGGCATATAGGAGCTCCAATTTTAAAAGGCAGAACATACTAGAACTATTAAAAAAAAAAAACACTTTGATAAGCTTGGCCTATGAGAGCTTTTTAATTAATAAAATTTAAAATAGCACTTCAATAAGCTTGGCCTATGAGAGCTTTTTAGTTAATAAAATGCTCTTGTATGTAATTTTTATGTTATGGGAGCGTTTTTACATGCAACAGCTACTGTTAATTACTTAAATAAAAACAATTAAATAAAAAATTGAGAATTTAAAATACTTATAAAATATAAATGATTATTTTGCAAAGGAAAGTGATATTATCTAATTAAATTTATTTTGAAAAAGTAAATAATTATACTTTCAAAATATTATCTTTGCTATTATATATATAAAAAATAAATGATAATACAAAAATAATATTTATCATAAGATTTTAAATTATAAAATTCATAATAATTGTTAATTTTAAATTATTTATAAAAAATTGAAACATTTTTTAATTGAAAAAGCTCTTTGGGAATGGGAGAATACCGGTGCGCTTTCCCATAAATAGTTCACGCTTGTTGCAGTCTTTTTTTTGTTTTATTTTAAAATTTTTGAATATTTATCAAAGCTTTTCTAATATAAAAAGCCCCCATAGATAAAAGTTAATAGGAGCTATTTCTCTTTAAAAAGCTCCCACATCCTCTTGTTTATTTATTTATTTTAATTTCATTTCTTCAAATACAAACTAGCTCCATCTTCGACCTCATTTGGATATGAGTTTGGGTGCTGCTTGCTTGAGGTTCAATGCTAAAGTTTCAAGCTGGAGGTCCGTCATTAAGATCTGGAAGTCCGTTGTCCATCATCTGCATGATGCTCAAGTCCATGATTCAAGCTCAACCCAGGTATGTTATAAAATCTTACCTCAAATACAGGGTCGAAGATGCATACTGAAGGAGAAGTGAACCCATTTGTGTTTAAGCTCTTTAATATGACTACTTTTGCTGCTCCAATTTTGATTTCAGGCCGATGACCCCTTTATTTCCATTTCCGAGCCTCTCGCTTTACCTGACCCTTTAATTCCTCCCGCATTCAGCTTCATGGAGCCACATTGAGTGCATCTAGGGTATTTCTATCGTGTTGTATGATTTATCTCCTAGATGCCCATTTTGTTTTGATCTTTTGCAAATGAGCTAATTATACAACCATTACTATGGCAGATCTTTAGCTTTAAACTAGAAACATGAGTTAACCCATTTGAGATTGTTGAAGGGTTTGAGGTGAATGCTCAACTTTCCCTTAGTATCTACTCAAAGTTAATTATTATTGTTAAATTGCTTACTGTTAAACTTAATTGAACTGAGATTGAGCATGACACCTAAAAACAAAAGGGGGATAGGAAAACCCAAAGACAGAGATTTCAGCATTAGGAAGCTTAAATTTAAAGCACTGAGATGATCAAGTAAAAAGTTAACAACAGAAATTTAAATTTTTTAGAACAATCTGGAATTATTCGAAAAGCTGTATTAATTTGCACATGCTAAAATCCTGTGAATATTTTTCCTAACTAGTGGACTTCTTAATCTTTAAAACGAGACAAACACCATCTTAAAATGGATATGTATTCAATTAGTTATGAATTTCTAAAGATAGGAAAAATTCCGGAAAAAAATAGTTGTGGTTAGAACAAGGTGTGTTCATTTATTGAATTGTATTGACTGAACAACTATTGGAGGTTTGGATTATTATTTTTATTTCAAACAAGACTTTTAGAGCTAAGACCACACAATCCAATACTCATATCCTTATATCCCTTTAACAACATGTGTCCAAATGCCACACACTGCCTTTGAATATGCCTTGGAAATTAAATGGAATCCATTATTCTCAAATGGAATTTTGAAAAGAGCATTAATTTAGTGGTTTTTTTCTTGCTGTAAGTCAAAGGCTTTGTCTGGGCTTTAGAAAATACATTTTTTTTACCTGTAAAATATAATAAATTATAGAGTAGATGGATTATTGCAATTCCAAAAGAAATGGCACGTAAATAAAAATGGTATTTTGTGGTAGGTTGTGAGTATACTTGGATTAAAATTGTGAAATCTTTTTTACTTTGTTTTCGTTGAATTTGGCTGTTGTTGCATGATTGCAATGTTAATATTTTAGATAGGACTTTGCTGAATTTCTGTCATAATTTATTAGAATTCTAAGTTGTTGAATTGTCTTGACTAGTGTAGAATTGTGAGGAGTTACAATTCTTGGGGTTCTCTAAAATTTTGAAAGTAATTGATTGATATGGATCAAGTATGGATGTCTGCCAATTATTTGTCTAGGGAATATGAAAATGGAGTTAATGGGTTTACTGAATTTGCATTTTGTCATGATGAATACTCTTATGGAGTCATATGCCCTTGTCTAAAATGCTCTCAATGTAATTGTATGAAATCAAGGTTTGGCTGAACATGATATTGATTTTGAAGAGGGCTCTTTGGAAAAGTCACAAGAGATAAGTTAGGCGCAAAACCTATAGTAGATATCCCCACAAAAGGTTGGCTAAATGCCATGATCATTAATATTTATATCAAGTAGGTCTTATTAGTTATAGATTTGGTTTTGATATATGTAGTGACATGGTCTATTCTTTCATTTCAGGTATCTATATAGTGACTTTATGGTGAGGGTTCAATGATGAATAAATTTTAATTCATCAAACATCTATAGCACTTATGAATAAATCACCATTCTGTTCAAATTAGTGATACTGACCAAAAAAAAATTAGAGCAATATTTTATTCTTAGCTCTTCATAATTTGGGGTAAGTTATTGTATTTTTATATCTTGAAATCTAATTGAAATTTGATTTAATATAATATTTTAATTTTTAGGGACCATTAGGTGCTAATATATATCAATCCATACATTCTTGAGTTTTATTATATTAACTCGACTCATAGTAATCCCGATCATTGCAAACCTATGAAGAGATTAAATAATCAATAAGAATCCTAATATTTACTTGTGATATATGTGTAATATAACAATCAAGCATAATTTAAGCTAGCTAATATATCTTTTGTTAGGGTTGTGGAGTGTTTTGAGGAAATAAGGGACTCTTGTACCAAATTAGAAAACCTGATATAGCTGATTACAAGTAGATAAGAAAAAAGGTATTTATCATTTTATTACTTCTAAATGATTGTTTGATGATATTTTAAATATTTTTCTCTCCAACTATGTTATTTTGGGTTGCTGTAGAATTACTGGGATACTGAAATGTCCATCTTCTAAACGGAGACTCTATTGGATTTCTTCCAATTTTTTGTAGGATTTCATAGATAACTTCTCTCTGAATGATCCATCTAGTGTATTAATTAATATTTGTTAAATTTTAATTTGGTTTATAACATGACAAAACTTAAGCATTCATTTTTGTTTTCATTTTTACGGGGCCAAAACAAATTGACTATTGGGAGTGCAAATACTACACCATGAAATTCATGAAAGATGTTATCATGCATGGAGAAATAGTCATTCCAACAAATGTAAGTATTTTAAAATTAGTTTCATTAAATGTAATTAAGTAATTTAATTGATGCATGTTATTTTATCTTATAGTTTGAAAATGTTTGATGCAAGTCTTACAAGATAGGAGAATCAGATGAGTTGATAAAGGAGTAGTCAAAATATGTTATGAGATGTTTATACACATTGCATTCAAAGTAGTTGGAATTTGTAGTATAGGTATAGGTGTAGAAATATTATGAAAACTATATTATTTAGTTGCTTGAGTTTTGGTATGTGAAAAAAAATACTTTGACCTTTAGTTATAGTTGTTCTTTAAAATTGAATGATAATTAATTTGTTAAAGTCTGTATTGTCTTTTTTGTATTGTTGTGCTTCTAGATTTTATCTAAAATATTGGTCATGACATGCAATATAATGATGAAATGGAGAAAAGAAAACAAAAAATATAAAAAATACCTACAAGAACATTTGATGAAAGAAAAGCTCATGTAGGGTAGACCTATGAGAGCTTTTCATAATATGAACATTCTTATAAATCTTCCCTGTCAGAGCAGCTTTTAAACGCTCCCTTACATTGTAAAGGACATCGTAAATTAGAACTTAAATCATTACACTAATTATGGTTAATCAAGGACTAATCTAAAAGGATTATTCAATACAAAAGTAACTTAAATAAATTTTTAATATGTATTTTCATAAACAATTCAAAGCAAAGGAATTTCAAGTCTTTAAAATATTTCAAAAATTCATATTATTCAATTAAATATATGCGAAAGCATGATGAAAGAGATATATCTTAACATAGGAGGAAAGCTTCCCTTTTATTATCTCTCTATGCCTTACTCCACCATATATATATTTACAACATAACATTTGGTCGCTCAAACCTTTCTATAATTAATAGTGGGGGGTTAAGGTCTTAATCACGTTTATCACAATGACTATTACCTTATCATTATATTCTATATATCATCTATTCATCAATAGTCCATCATATGTATGATTTTTTTTTTTCATTCACATATAATTAATATTAACTGCTCACCCTTGGACATCAAAAACATAAGGGGAGACCATAACAACATTCAAGTTCTCAAATTAAATAGATAATAATTATTTTTACTTGCACAAATATTTTGGCCCATTAATATAACACAAGTATCAAATCACATTCTCAAGGGTCTAAAATACATATCCACCCAACACAAAACCCATAATGCAAATAGATCAAGAATATATTATTTTAGTTAGTAATATCATAAACTAAATATACACATCAAAATAAAAAAAGAAAGACCTACAGAAGTGATTATTATCACTTAGCCTAATATTTTTTTCTTTGTTCTTCTCAAATAAGCTAGCTCCTGTAATATGATAAAAGAGAGAGATGAATACAACTATTCAATAATCAAGGTACATTTAAGTTATACAAATGAATGATAATTAATCATGAATGTAAGTGGCTAATAAATTTATCAAGATGACCATGTAAACAATCACATTGATAACATGTTAATCATATTAACATCTAACTCATATGAATAATCTTAAGAATAAAGTCAAGTATAAAATTTGCACAAATGGCTACATATACATTATTCACATAATTACTACATGTTCTCATTTTTACAATTATAATCATATTCTCAACGTAGCCATTAATCACTCAAATGATATAATAATAATAATATGCATGATCAATCTCTTCCTTACATTCTCCTTTATTTTCTCTTACATGAAATTCGTGAGCCAACAAATCAGAAGGGATCGTCTATGTGATGAGACCACTTAAGGCTTTAATCATATTGTGAAGGGCTACCGAGTTAGGGTTACCTTACTCACTTATAAACATAGTTTCCCCCAAATCACATACTATGGGGTGTTATACCAAAACTAGCTTTGCTTAAAACTCTAGGTAGGCTAGTAGGGTCAAACAACTTCATAGGAACAATGTTACAGTATCTTACAAGGTAAGTAGCAACTATAATTTTTAGAATTATTGATTAATAGCCAAGTATCATATGAATTTTGCCTAAACGCTAACTCCTTTACTTAGGCCAACTCCCGCCATATGATTATACTCATGAGAAAAATGCATTTCAAAAACTTAGATACATAATTCACAAGTATCCCATATGCTCATCAACTTTCTTATTCAACAAGCATCAAGAATAATCATTTTTCAATCATGCCTCTTGCATCAAATTTTATATTACCACATAAACCACGTTAGCATCATATAAAGCTCAATATGCTCATATACAATTCACCACTATACATAATTCATAATTTATAATTAAGAGTGTGCACATCATCATCAACCATCAATTCCATTACTCACATCAAGTCATAATTAACTTGGTCACAATTATAAGGTCTCAACAAAGCCACATATGCATTTCAAACAACTATTTCATAATATATATATATATATATATTCTTTTATTTCACCAAAATAAATAATTAATTAATATATAAATGTATAAAATAGAGTTTTCCTGATTACCTCAACCTTTAAGAAGTCAAAAGCCCCTCAAGTTACAACACTTTCAAAGCTTTTTAAAGCTTGAATGGTGTCAAAAAAAATTAATCTATAATTGATCATATCCCAATATATTAATAATATATTAATATAATTTTTACTCATACTCTAACACTTAAGTATTTATTTTATTTTTTTCATTTTTACGACCTTTTTAACGTTTCTTTAGTTTCTTCTTATTTAACTTTATGTTTTTGAACCTATCTATTTAGTTCAATAGTCTCCTTCACAATAATTTCATTGAAGTTTGGCCGAAAACATCACTAAAATAATTTTCAAATATCAAAATCTCCTTTTTTATTCCAAAAATTTGCACCAGAAAAATATTCAAAAATTAAAAACTTGATCTCAAACCTAGAATCATTATTATATATTCATAATAATTTATTTTTCGTCTTAAATAATTATATAAACATTAACAAATCAATTTATATTTTTAGATTTAACCAAAAATTTACCCATAAAGATCTAAAGATAAACTCAAAGGCCTTAAATTCTAATTCTATTAATAAAATAATATTTTAAAATATTTATTACATTATTAACAACCTCAATAATCAGATTTACTCATAAAAAATTCATCCTTCTTTCAAACCCTAAGTTTTCATAATCTGCAAATCAGAAACTTAAGGAAACATCTAACTAAGAAAAATATTTGAGATACTTATATAGTTTTAGAATACTTAAAATCTTAACTGAAATATCCTATTATAGAACTTCACCTTCTAAATCAATCTCCACTGTCGATGACTCCCACACACTTTCGCTCTCTGTTCGGTGTTCAGGCACACAGAGTGAAAAAGGAAGAGAAATGAAAAGGGCAAGAGAAGTGTGTTGGTTTTAAAATAAAGAGTGGGTCTCACATTAAATTCATGCCTCTTTCTCACTTTTGTCTTCTTAAATTTTGCGCATGCACAAATCCGCTCTTTCCTTTTTTTTTGCACTATTTACACATCAGCACACACACAAAAGCAAAAATTACTTCCCTTCTCTTCAAATTTTTTTTTATGTTCATTTTCCTTCTTCATTCTTTCTTCTTTTTTTATAATATTATTATTACTATTTCTTATTTCTATAAAATCATAATTTAAGATTTAAATTTTTGCTAAATTAAATTCAACAATAATTTTCTAACAAAAAATTATTTGTCTCTAAATATTTTTTCAAAATTACTCACTTACTTTTAATTAACTTAATTAATTTTGGATTAAATTTTTAAAATGTTACATACATACCAAAGTTAAAACGCTTTGAAAGCATCAAAACGAAATGCTTCAAAAAGCTTTTTAGTTGTTGATCTTCTTGTAGTGCTACCACCAAATGCTTCCTTATGTGTTACTATCTCTTTCTACGTGTGGATTTCAATTGTAGCACATGTTTTCTCCTTTCTCTCTCTCTCTTGACCTCCTCTCTTTCTCTCTCTTCCCTTTTTTGCTTCTCGTTTTATATCACTTGGTATGCTAGAAAATCTAAGAGTATTACCACCTTATACTCAAACTAATCCAAATCCCTATTGTCTGAGATCATGGTTGCTAATGTTGACGATACGTTAGGAATATCTTGGACACAATTATTTAATGTGATTGTATATTTTAGAACTTGAAATTGAGATCTCAAGATAAGTTAATTCTAATATTTATTTATATAAACTCCAATGGTTTTATGGAGTACCATAATGTAAAAGAAGGCTTTTATTTAAAAAATTGTAACTCTTGTACAGGACTGAAGGCCTATATCGTTATACTCAAGTGTATGAATATTACTCCTCATTTTTCCCTAATTATTTTTTGTGTTCTTCATTTATTTCATCTCAATCTTTTATTTCTCTAGTTTTATTTATAAAGTAAAGATAGAATATTTTCTTTAATCCTATTTATAGGACATCTCAATGATTATTATCTCTTATTTTTAGAGTAGATATATTTAATAGGGGTAAAGTTAAAAATTCATTGAATATTTAGAAAAAATTAATTAGGTTTAAAATTTTTTTAATCCCAATAAAAAATATTAAAAATAACTTTATAAATAGAATTAAAAAAGATATATTCTTATTTTCATAACAAAGAAATCGTCATCTCCAGGTTGTGCAATAGCTCGTTTAATTATTAGAGTCTTTATAATAAATGACTATTCAAGGTGATTGGAGAGGTACTAACTACCGATTGGGGATACTAAATGACAAGATACATTAAACGAAATTTCTAAAAAAGTATCCTGTTTTTCTATCAAATTTATCCAATTGTTTGTTTCAAAAAAGTCACATTACCTGGATTAATTTATGATATTATTATAGCACATTTCATGAATCGAGGTTTCTAATGTCAAAGAATATAAACAATATTGTAGATTTAGCATTTACCTTAATCATTAGTCGCTGATCACCAGTGGTTGAAGAACCTCTAGTATTTTCGTAACTATGAATACACGTATCATTTAACTATATTACTCCTGTGATTTTATTTATAAGGTAGAAAGAAAGAAAAAAAAATTAATCTTATTTATAAGATATTTGTCAATTCTCATTCATGATTTGAAAAACTAAATCGGATCGACCAGTCGAATCTACGAATCGGTGATTCGGCTACATGTCCAGTTCAGTTTACTACATAGATTGGACGAAACTCAACCCAGATTGATTCAAAAAAAACCTAGAGCAACCCATTCAACCCCACGAGTTGGGTGGGTTGAACAGGTCACTTTTTTCTCCTTCCAATGGCTCTAAAACGATGCTGGAAAAGAGCAACGGTGAAGAAGAAGCTAGCGGCGAAGATATGCTACTCCATTCTAGATATAAACGACAAGCAAATATGAGCAACAAGATATTGAGTAGATCTAGAACAAATATAAAGGACAAACAACTACAAGTTGACAAATCAAGGATAGAAAGATAGCAAGAAGCAAATCTAAAAACATAAATATAGAATGCTGAACAGCTAGAAGAAGAAAGAGTGAAACATTGAAACCTGAAAACTCAAGCGGGTGTGGCTTCGACTAGCATTCTAGGAGTGGGAGAGGAAGAGATTTTTTTTTTAATTTTCATTTAAAATAAATGATGGTACATATCTTGTCATTTCTTGACTGACATTGTTTACTGCTGCTACACGTCTGCTTCGCACCTTTCTAAACAATGTTAAAATTCAATTTTTGAAAAAGGTGCTCCTGGCTATTTTATTTTATTTTTATAATCTTGAACTTTATATATGTTAATGGCTTTACGCGCTCTATTATTTTACATTAGATATTTATTTTTTAATTTTAAATGATTATTTATATCTCTTTTTAATTATATCTATATTTTAATTTTTAAAATTGTATTCCTATTATTTTTTAAGAAAATTTTTTACTATTATATTTTCTACCAAATATTATTATCGCTTAAATTATTATTTTATATTACATAAGATATCAAGTCTTGGATATGGCTAAATATATCAAGAATTAAGGTGTTTTTTTAAATTATATTATTTTATTATGACCGGTTTGATTTCAATTTAACTCCTGGTTCAACCTCAGTTGAACCTTTGACCTTTAACCTAGTGTCTCAACCAGTTCAATGACCGATTCAATTTTTAATACCTTGATTCTCAATGCTCATATTTATATTTTTATCCTTATTAAATAATTTAAATAAAAATATAAGTAATGAGATTTAAGAACATTTATTGAGGATAAAAATAAAAACTTGCTAAATTTTAGAACAAAGTTAATGAGGTTTAAAATTTTTTTAAATTTTAGTAAAACATATTGAAAGTAACTTGTAAATAAAATTGGAGAAAGCAATATATAGTATATTTATATAAGTGTAGATTTTCAAAATAGATCTAGCCAGAAAAAATTATAATATTGCTTTTTAATTTTTCATCCCTTCAAATAAACAAAATGCATCTATAAAATTTGAAAATGACAAATAATCAAGACAACAAAGTAGATCCTTTTTTATGGTTGGAATATTTATTTCATTTAATTAATTACCATTAATGTCATCATAATAATGACAATGGCCTGAATGTGTTTGAAATCACGTTGAAAAGTGATTGAAAAACTAAATTTTGGTGTGCAAAAATATAGATTTGAATTTGATGACTGTACTTATTATAGATATTGAATGTCTATATCATATGAATTGTTAAAATATAAATCAACGATTCACATAAACTCGTTCATTCATTAATTTTAAGTGGAATATGAATTTAAAATTATTAATCTAAATTTTAACGGTTTAAATAATATAGACACTCAATACTTGTATTAATTATAGCTACTAAACTCAAATGCCAAAGGCACACAAATCTCAAGGTGAACATGTTTTGCGAACCTGCAAAACAAACATCAATTTTCTTTTAATTAAGTTCTCTGGTTTTTTTTTTTTTTTTACCAGACGTTTAATTAAGCACTTGTCATGAACCTTTCAAGTGGAATGTGTGCGGATCCTTACTCAGGTCCTGTCTGTCATCACAGATCCGAGCTTAAAGAAAAGAGTTTTAGATGCATTTGCACACGCATAGCACAGGCCTCTGACTCACTCAGACGTCAATGAACTGGGTCTATAACTGTCGGCCCACATTTCATGAACTCAACCCAGATACTCGCGCTATAAGGCCATGTAAGATCCCGTCAGGCCTTTGACGTAGGCGTGAAAGTGCGAAACAGATAAGCCAGTCCAAGACGAACAAATAATTTTGCACGGAAAGGGAATAGACTACCCCAAGCAACTACGAAGGCAGCTTGAAGTACGCACAGACTACAAAACAGAGGAAGCAAAATAGGAGTGATTTCCATTTTTCACGCTCGTGCCATGTCATTATTTCATAGAGGGTACAATTTAAATGGTCACTTTTAAAACTTAAATTAATAAGAATCACAGTTATATTATTCAATGAAAATTAAATTATATCCCCCCCTTTAATCCGTCTTTATCTTTAGGCGATGAATTATTCGTGTTCTTTTAAAACTCACTTTATCTAATTGTTTTACCATGTTCACAAAAAGAACAAAGTCTCACGTTATGAAGAATGGCATTGACTTCCCGTGGACGCTGGAACGCGTGGAGTTTCACGGCTGCAATTAGAATTCTTTGTGGGGAATGCGAAGGCTCACGCGGGAGTCCTTTCAAAGAGAAATTCACTCTAGACCGACTCCTCTGCAAGTGGCGTGGGTTGGACTTGACTGCACCATATCAAATAGGAGAAACTACAGGCAGATATCTGATTCCCAATAGTAAAGAGAACTAGTTTTGCCAAAAGGCTAGATTTCATTGTATATCTTTATGTATACAAGCTCAACAGATGCTCTAGGTCTTGTATTCGACAAATAGTCTAATCACCGCCCCTTAAATAATATTCTTAATAAGAAGATGAGAAGAATTATGATGTAAGATTGGTAGTTAGATTCTTATAAGCATGTCTTTAAACATGTCATCTGTAACAAGCAACTATGAATGATTGGAATCAGGTGGTTGAAGCTTGGAGGCAGGACATTTCCCAAAGACGGCCTCCATGTCCTCCAGCGACCTTCCCTTGGTCTCAGGCAAGAAAAGGTAGTAGAACCACCAAGCAGTGGCAGTAGCCCCTGTGAACACACAGAACAACGCACCCATGGTTATCTTTTCATACACTGTTATAAACGTCATCACCACTGCCACCCCCGTAACACTGTTCACCACCGAACAGATTCCAAGCCCCTGCGCTCTCAGCCTCAGGGGGAATATCTCCGAGCCGTAAACCCACGTCACTGGCCCCAATCCTATCCCCATAAAACCCACAAAGCCATAAACGGCCACGATGCTGACGCCCTCTGCCCACTCTTGCTCCTCTCTAGAGTGTTCCACCATTGTCAAGCACACGCTCAATCCTACCAAGCTGACCACTATACCTCCTGAGCTGATGAGCAGCAGAACCCTCCTCCCTGCTCTATCCAGCAAGAACGCCGCCACGAATGTGAATATTAATTTGGTGATTCCCATTCCCACCGTGGCTAGCAGCACCTTGCTCTTATCGGACATGCCTGCTTTCCCGAATATTCTTGGAGTGTATACCAAAAACGCATGGAATCCACTTAGCTGCAGAAATAAGTGTACTCCTACTGCTGCAATAAGAATTCTCCGTACTGAATGTGAAGGCCTATACAATAGCGCTTTCAAAGCTCCTGCTCCACCCCCCGTCTTCTTTGGCACCTGAAAATCAAGCAACACATTTTCTAATAAAGATAAACACGATCATTAAGCATTTAAATGAAAACTTTTCTGTATCGGTAAACCAAAAGGCATGTGGTATCCATTACCGGAACAGTGTCTTGGTCGCAATTTTCATCGATACCAGCAGCGATTTTGATACCCCGCAAGCGCTCTGTGGCTTCAAGGTCAGAATTAGAGACGAGTAAAAGCACCTTTCTGGCCTCACCCACACGGCCTTGCATGACCAGCCACCTCAGAGACTCCACCATTTTTAACATGAGAATGGCCAGACCTAGCGAAGGGATCGCTGTAACACCTACCATCAACTTCCATCCGAGTCTGAGGCTCAGCTTTCCGAAACAGTAGTTTGAAGCGTGGCCGAGCAGGAGTCCCACGTTGATGGACAATTCTGGAACGGACGTTAGTAAGCCTCTGGAAGAAGGTGGCGAGATCTCTGCACAGTAAACAGGTGCTGTCAGCAATGCAAAGCCCGCCCCAAATCCTGAAACGCATCTTCCGATCATTAGGATTGGATATGATGGGCCGTAGCCCATCAAGATGGAGCCCGCCAAGAATAAGAGGGAAGCCACAATAATGGTGTAGCGCCGCCCCATGACGTCGGAGATTCTGCCGGAGGCCAACGATCCTAGAAGTGCGCAAGCGTTTAAGATGCCTGCCAGAAGCTGTACTTGCGGGTCACTGATTTTAAGATCCTCCTTTATGAATAATAGAGCTCCGGACATTACTGCGATGGCTGAAAAGACGCCATGGAGTTAGCAAATTTTTGTATTCGGTTTCCAGTGTTATTCTCGAGCACTGTCGGCAAAAATTTTCAATTCCGTAATAAATTCATTGAAACGATATCGATGCTCTCATGGTTTCTTTTTTGTTTCGACTTATTTTTTAATTCAAAGTATGGGGTGTGAACTTGTTGGTCATATAATAATAATGATGATATAATGAGAACTTACTGTAGCCATATATCATGGAGATGATAGAGGCAACTACCACAGAAGCGCAAGCATGCTTGTTGAGCTTCTTCGGACTTTCTTCAGTTTCATTGATACCAGGCGTCTGGAATTGTACGGCCTTCTCTTTTGCCGCTGACATTATTTGTTGCCGTTGTGCTTTTGTGATCTCTTTAACATTACAGTCATATATGATCTTTATATAGAGTTAATTTTGCCATCTGGGCAGTCTTAATCTCTAGAAGAAATCGTTTATTGTTTAATATGTAGTAAAAGTTATCGATCCAATATCTGAGAGATTATTTATAAACAAGAGAAGTATGCATGTGAGCTGCCTCTTCTACCATACGTGATTATTTTCCCCCCTGAAATTCTCTTGGTGGGATGACTCTTCAAGGTAATTAAAGAGCTATTCGTGCTGGCCATTCTAACCAATTTTGTGATAAAAATTTTAGATGTTTTCCCCTTTGGAACCATACCAAACTGCTACTAAAAAAAAAATATAAAACTATATTTAACCAGACCGAATGAAATCAAATATTAATTTCACGCACGCATGTATGAATAGTGTTTTTTTTAAAAGATGGTACATGTTATATAAATATAGAAAAAAATTAATATTTTAATCTTTTGACTTTTTAACTCATTTATAATTCACTCATTTAAGTATGACTTGTTGCGAATTAATTTTTCAATTTTTGACTTATTTATAACTAAATTCCTCAATTTTTATTAGTTTTCTTTTTTCATACTAGCTTAGATTTCATATCGAAGAATGAGAGAAAAATATTTTAGAGTAAGATATAAGCATTTTTTTCCCTTTATTTGATAAGGATAATTTTAAAAAAAATTAAAAAATAACGATAGAGTTATAAGTGAGTCAAAAATTGATGAATTAAATTTCAACAAGTCATAGTTGAGGCACTTATCAATTGCAACGAGTTATAATTGAGGGATTGAGTTATAAGTGAGTTAAAAATTGAAGGATTATATTAAAAAATTAATTTTCCTTATAAATAAAGTATTCAATGATGTCATCTAATTTTACATCGCAGCACGCGCTTCATTTAAGTGTGTTTATATAAGTTTAGTCTTTCATGGATAGATTCTTCCACTGTTTATATATAGCTTCAAATATCCAAAATTTCGTTAACTTATAACTTATTTGCAACGGAGTTCTCCTATTTACAACTTATCTTGGACCATTTATAATTAAATTATGTGTCAATTATATTGGAGCATTTTTTTTACTATTTACTTCTTTTTAAAAAATTTGACCCTTCTCTAAAATTTTAAGAAAATGACTTTCTTGCATGGTCCTATGGTGTCTTTCTCCCTGTGGAAACAGACACGCAAAGTCGATATTGTTCCCCTGGATCCCCACCTCCATCTGCTTCGAGGGCAGCTTCTAATTTTAATTTCGTTTTTTATTTTTATTAATATAATTAATATATATTAATTAAATTAAATAAAAAATAAAATAAATAATGATAATGATAATTACTTTTTTAATTAATTAATAATATTAAGAAGAAATGAAAAAAGAAATCACAAAAAATATATGGATCGCCTTTTCTATTGCTTGGCCAATAATATATCCAGAGGTTCAATGCACAACCCACGATGCCAGGTCCCACGCACGCTTTGAACAAAGGGGCTTGTTTTGCCCTTGAACATAGAAAATATAATTATTAATATTTATAATTTTATCAAATTTTATTTTTTTAATTCTTATAGTTTTTATTTTTTGTAGTGTTTTTAGTCTCCAACACCAAAACTATGAGGATTTGAGTAATAAGTGTCATCAAATTTTGTAGAAATTATAAATATTGAAAATACTAAAAATATCATAAGGATTAAAAACAAGACTCAATAAAACTATGAGAAACAATGATTATGTTTTCCTTTAAAAATATCAATATAATATATATATATATATATATATTTATATATCAAAAATTCTATAACTATTATATATAATCTACGATACACATCTAACTTTTTCATACTTTTTAATTTTTATTTGTTAATTTTTTAAATATGATATGGTAAAAAAAAGTAAAGAACTGTTATAAAAAAAAAGTGAAGAATACTACGAGCATAGCAGTAAAAGAGGTATATATAAGATCTATAAAAAAAAAATTGTTAACATGAAACTTGTAATTGAAAGAGAATAAAATATTCTGACCTCCTCTTTATTTTATCTTAATTAATTAATGATACTTTTTTTATTTTTAAAATCTATACAAACCTTTTTTAATATGTTTAGTTACAAAAACACAAAGATTCCTTTCATTTTAAGATTTTATTTTCATCCATCTAACTATTAGTTAATCTTTATGTTATATGTGTCAGATTAAAATATTCTTTTTAAATATAAATATTTTCTAAAAATCATTTAAATTAAAAAAATTATTTTTTATTATTTAAATGTATTTATTTTGTAATTTTTTTAAAAATTAAATATATAAATTGGATAAAATAACATTCAAACGAGCAGTTAATGGACTCAAAAAGAGAAAAATAAAATAAAATATTATTTCACAATTGATATGGTTAAATTGGCTTGAATAAACCCAAAAGTGAGAAATATAAAGTCAAGGTCTAGCTCAGCTCTAAATTTTTTACATATTTAAGTATTTTAAACTCAATATAAATTGATGCTCTAAAGGGAAAGAAGAGAATGATAAATTTTAATAAATTTGATTTTAAAAAATAGGAGTAGGGTGGTTTAAAATTTTTTAATTAATTTTATGGCAAAAATTTTTAATTAATTTCACTTAAGTTTTCCTTTACAATTTGTTTATATTAAAAATTTTCAATCTCGTTTATCTTTTTTTTTTTCAAAAAAATTCGATTGATTAAAATATGTTTTCTTTATTTTATGTTATCTAATTTGATTAATATTTCGGCGTATTGAGTATAAAATCTAGTTAATTAGTAAACAAGTTCATGATGGACGGTCCAGAGGTGCTTTTGCTTTCCCACATGACTGTCTTCTTTAAGACTTCTTATCATCTACTCTCTCTTGTGTGGTTATTGTATAACATTTTCAATTATTTTATATATTTTTTTAAAAAATAATTTATTCATATTATACATTTATTTTTATTTTTATTTTTAAATTATAATATAATTATATTAAATATTTTTATGTTAATCAATAGAGAGTAAAATTAAAAAAATAATTTAATTATTTTAAACTAAAAACTGTTAATATAAGACAGAAAGGAGTATGGCCCATGCACAGATAACGATAATTGTGCATTGAACGAAAAGCAGTGAAACAGTGCAGGATGAGTATTACAGCTTGGGTGTTTATAATATTTAGGCACGTGACACCATGCTGCGCTGCGTTTAACTAATAGCACGTACATCTTAAGTAACTCAAGCTAATAACCTAGTTACCACGGCAATTGGCAAGTTATCCCGAGCACTGGTATAAAAATTTACAATGGCGTTAGAAAGTTTGAAATTGGTTGTGGCCACTTAAATACAAAGTCCTGATTTAAGTCCATGTAATATTTTTGGAGAGCTATTTTTAATTAAATTTGATAATATTTAAATCTAAAACTAAAACTTATGGAGATAGTCTCGCCGAGGAATCGGCGTGGGCTATGAACAGACCAATCGGAAAATGACATATTTTAATTAATTATTTTTTTTAAAAAATAAGGCTAGCTCTAAATGTTGAAAATGAAAAGCCTAAAACTTTGTCAAACAAACGAAGACTAGATGTCTCTTAAAAGCACAAATAACAAAAAAGACGTGCAGAGATGATTTTGTTCCCTTGGATCCCCACCTCCATGTGCTTTGGAAGAGGTGCTTCTTTGGATTGACTTTTCTTCTGTCCAGCCAACATCTTCAACATTCTACAAACCACAAAGCTATGTAGGCCCCAAGTTTTGAATGAAGGCCTGGATTTTTCTTTGCACAATATTATCATCATTTATCAGTATTCATTCCGGTTACAATGATGAAATAAGGACGAGAAGTGCTTTTGCTTTCCCTTGGGAAAACATTATGAATGAACTGCGAGATTTTCAAGCATCATGAAGGCGACCACTCTTGCGACTTCTGATCAATTTTATGGTTCAGGTGCTTTCAGAGTTCTGAGCTTTCCATTGACGGCCCCCACTGCGTATCCATACATATATATTTACCAGTGTGCCTTCACTTTCAACCCTCCCTTCTTAGCCTCAGCTGATAATTAGCCTTTCTTCGCCACTTTAAAACATCCAAAAATATGACGTCAATTATTAAATTAATAACTGATTCGTGTGTTGGAATGGATATTTTGAGGCATGCTAGCTAATACATTTATACTTGTAGGGGCCCCGTTAACTTCTAGATCTTGTGGAATCATGGTTGCTCTGCACAGCAATGATGTTCTGTCCAATAATTCCCAGCCTCCTGGCATTTACCGCCCTAGTTCTGTTTTGCCTTTTCCTTCAAAATTAAACCCGGGAAAGGAAAAAAAGAAAACTGAGAACGATTGAATTGGACCGGAAAAAAATAAGTGAATGAAAGTGTTAAGTGACTTGTGTGTGTCATGTTCGGAGCTCTGGCAGCGTTCGCTGGAAAGTGATCCAAAACGTGGAATTCTGTTGAAGAAATAAATCAAGATTTGTCGCGACATTATTGACTTAAGCAATTACGTTCAGTAACATATAGTGAAGAAACCAATATATATAATACGTGGCTGGATAAACAGAAGCAAAAATTGCAGGCTCTGAATTTTAATTTGTTGGACAACGACGACAAAAGGGAAGGCCCCAGACGCAGAATGGGAGTACAACAGATCATGTTTTATTCTCTGTTTTTCTTTCACCAGCCAAAGAATCCTTCCGAGTACGGCTTGATGCATGCGCTCTTAAATTTAGAGCATAGATCGTCTTCATCACTACAATAATCTCTCTCCTTTCAACCCCGCCTTTGAAAATCCTCTTATTTTTGCGTTAAATAAAATTTTAATTTTTTCTTCATTTGAATATTATAATTTGGCCGTCAAATGAACATATTTTCCATACCCATGACAAATAAAAGGAATGTGATCAACATGCTGAAATAGAAGCCTGCAGCTAATTATTCTTCATGCATGATATATGCTATAGCTTATAAACTACATGCACATATATAAACACATGCAATCCCATTTTGACGCTAATTCATGTGATGAAGGGTCGAATAGAGTATGACAAATAGCTCGATCGGGGTTCAAATGCATTTCATTAACAGATGCATGTCCAACTCAACCATTCAAGCTAACTATATATAAGTTTAATATTTATCGATCAAGTTTCATTACTTTGCAGATGCTGTCATGCGGTAAATATTCAATTATTCATATTGAAGACCTTGATTCTTTCTTCTTCCCCAACATTTCTTTAGTTCATTTTGTTAGCATCATTTATTCTATTCAGCCTATCAGTGTACAAAAATTAGCCATGAGATATATATGACACCCACACCTCTCGCGCCGCGCCGACACCACTACCCCCTCCCCAGAGTTAGAGTTTTCATTTTCATTTTTGGGGACAAATTTATAAAGGCGGCACGAAATGGGTCAGCCTCTACTATATAAGAGAGGAATCTCCTTTTCACAGGAAAAGAGCTCAGAGAGAAAAATGGCGAAACGTTTCAAGTTTCGAATCTGCCGCGTCTTTCAATCTTGCCGATCCAAAGACCCCTCCGCGCTTCCCTCAAACCCAGTCCCCTCCTTCCTGCCACCCACACCTCCCAAACCCCCTCGCTCCTCCCTCAAGCGCCACGTTACTTATGCGTTTGAATCTGTCGGCTGCGTCTTCAGATCAAGGCCCACCCTCTCCGACGCCGATGACTGTCATCACGAACCCCAAGTCTTCCGCTGGGAACAGCAAGACAAATGGCACGTGGTCGCCAAGGTCTGCGCCCCCGACAACTGTACAACACCTCGCCGCAAAATCTACAGTTCCTCGGTCTCCGGTGCCTCCGATGACGATGACGACGTCTTGCCTCTCCCGCCGCCACCTCGTGTGAGGAAGAAGAAAGGACGGGTCAAGAAGAAGAAAACAACGCCCAGGTTTCGCATGAGCACCTCCTCCGCTGACAGCTGTGGATTGTTTAGCAGCGATGGCTACGACGATATGGACGAAGAAGAAACAGAAACCCTAGTTTCGTCTTCTAGGAGCTTCTCCACGGACTCTTCTTCCTTCGAGTTGAACCCTCAGTTGGAGAGCATTTGCGAGACGCCAAGTCAGCACCATCGAGTTATGAAGATCAAGCCAAATTCAAAAAAGAAGAAGAACAAGAAGAAGAACAAGAAGAACAAGAAAGACAGAAGAGCGAGCTGTTCATCGTCGCCGGCGAGGGTGTCGATGTTATTACGGCTGGTACCATGCAGCGTGGAGGGGAAGGTGAGGGACAGCTTTGCGGTGGTGAAGAGATCGGAGGATCCTTACGAGGATTTCAGGAGGTCGATGATGGAGATGATTTTGGAGAAGCAGATTTTTGAGGACACGGATTTGGAGCAGCTCTTACATTGCTTCTTGTCTCTTAATTCCAGCGAACATCATGGGGTTATTGTCCAGGTTTTCGCTGAGATTTGGCAGGCTTTGTTCACTGCTGCACCAGCAACATTTAGAGAATGAAATGTAACTCCCACGTTCTACAGCAGTATTTTAAGTTTCATTATCATTTTATTATTGTAACTTCTCGTCCAAGGATGAAACCGATTATCGGAGGTAGGAGTACTCTTAACTTTTGGTAAAGTTTCACTACTCAAGAAATCTCCATCTTTGCGTTTTCATCCTTAATATATATCACGATTATAAATGGGAACTGAACGACAAAATAGTGTGCTGAATCCAGATATCGTTAAATTTTCTCTAGGACTCGACGAAGATTATGGAGCATGGGGTAAGCAGAGGGGTTGACCCAACAGTGGTGAGTGACTGCTCAATCTATTAAATCGATCGTGAATTTTCTTCACATTAAAGATCCCATCACATAGGAACCTATATATAAAATTAGGTTATATCACCTGTCTCTGAACTAAGTATAGTGTCTATATGTACTATAATGATAAAAATGCTAGTCTCCGTTTTATCATATATTTAGTATAGTGTAATCATGCATATAGGAAGATATTTGTTTTTTTTTTTTTTTTGCCCCCTCTTTTCGCGAGAGAGAGACGCGTGAACGAGGGCCAGAGACAGCGCGAGGTCAGTTGGATCCCAGATCTACCTCCACTTTTGTTCGAGACTAATATTCATTTCGTTCTTTTTTCAAGGTCGGTTCACCTTGATGATAGGTTCTCGTTTTAAGTCCAAACTCTGCCACTGATGATCGCTGGGAGTCATTTAATTTGTTTGGTTACTTCCATTTTTTGGGCCCTGATTGACCTAGATCTTCATTTTACATACTCTCTTTTTAGCGGGCCTCTTCATCTTGACTAATCCACATGATTTCGGATCAATCATCAAATGCTCCCAGGTCCCAGTAGATCCCCTCACGCGCGCACATATATAAAGTATATATATCTTTTCATATATAGAGATTCATCGGCAACAAACATGATCTACAATACATGTAAAACCCGTGCAAGCTTGGGGCTTTGAGCTGGCCATTCCCCTAGCTAGAGGTTTCCTTCCTCGATACTTCATCGTTGCTGGGTGGTCGGATGTATCGTACGCCGTGCATATCTATCACTGTCCCTTTACCTTCTGTACAAAAAAAAAAAAAAGCAATCTAAAAGATCATCTCCACCTCTAATCAGTTTTTCGTGAAGTTCACGTCATCGAAACAAAACAAAACATCAAAGCATGCCATTGATGCACCTTACTGGAAGAAGTAAAATTCAGTGAATTCCTCGCTCCCACGGTATCAGACGTTTCTTGCTATGAGAACAATAAATGGCGCACTTATTCCCGAATAAACGACAAGTTTCTTTACAGTCCGCGACGAGCATGAGATTAGAGCATGGGAAGAGAGAGATAGACACTGATGATGTTATTGGAGATCAGAGATGGCTGTTTTGCGTCATGCGTACGACGGTGTGCCTGGTGGATTCTTTGTCGCATCAGACAGCATGCGGTTTCCTTCTCTCTTCTTATTGTTCAATCAATGGGCCTACGAGTCAGTGGTGAGTCACAGTATCCTGGAGATTCAGTCCTCTTTCCACCCTTCGATGCAACCTAACACACCTACGCATCGGGATTTGTCTCTGTCATGAATTTCGTTTCGAGTTGAGGGAATCAGAAGGAGAAGCTTTATTAATTTTCTTGTGGTGGACGGCTTCTCTTTCGCAGGCTCGCTTGCTGAGCCAAAAATGGGAACTTTGAGTTGATGTTATTTTGTAGGGAAAATCTCTGGAACATTTTATTTATAAAGAAGAATTAAATGATTCTGAATTCATGTTGTTAGATTAAGGCATTAAAATTTTTAATGTGAAAAGATAAAATTATTACTCATTTAAGAAAAAGTTAAACTGTATTTTTATCCTTAAAATATTTTCTTAAGAACACCCAACACTTTAATATTTTTGTTGGAATAATTTTACCTTTTAAGTTTTAAAATAGAGCATTTTTGTATTTTTTTTCAAAATTTTAATATTAATTTCAAATGTTGACTGTTAAAAAATTTGATAAAAAAAACAAAAATATTTCGTTTTAATAATTTTATAGGCAAAATTACTCTAATAAAAATGTTAAGATGCTAGGTGCTCTTCAAAAAATACTTTAAGAGTAAAAATATACTTTTGCCCTTTAAGGAAAAAAAAAAAATCTCCTAACTATCATTAGCCTCCAAAACTTTGGCACTAATGAGGCAAGAGAGATAGAACCCACATCTTTTTGGCCATCAAAAGGATAGGTATCTACTAAGCTAATAGTTCCTTTTAATCATATAATGTAAATTTTTACACACACACATATCTAACTTTGTTTTTACTTTTCATGTCAATATTTATCAGGAGTTTAATAATTGTATGTCATTTTATAAATAATTACTTATTAAACTATTAATGAAACTTGTTAAAAAATTTAATATGCGCTGATTTTTATAAATGTTTACCTATTTGTATTATCAGGAATGGTAAGTCTCCATAAGTAATTTAATAAGTAATTATTTGTGAAATAAAAAGTCCCATTACTAGCTTTTAATTTTTTTTTGATAATTTGATGAGTAAATTTTAGTGAAATAACAAATTTATATGAACTTTTGATATGTAAAATTTTAGTAATAAAAAAAAGTAAAAAATTACAAAAATTACTTTATATTAAAATTTCTTAACAAGTCCCCTTTGATAATTTAATAAGTAATGATTTGTGAAATGACAGGTCCTTATTGCTGGCTTTGAAAATTTCTCTTAAAAATTTGACAAGTAAATTTTAGCAAAAATAATAAGTTCATGTGAGCTTTTGACATGTAAAATTTTAGTAATAAAAATAAGAAAATATTTATAAAAATGAGTCCATATTAAATTTTTTTAACAAGTCCTCATTAATAATTTAATAAATAACCTTTTGTAAAATGACAAATCCTGTTACTAGCTTTTAAATTTTTTGTTGATAATTTGACGTGTAAATTTTAATAAAATAAAAAGTTCACATAAGCTTTTAACATGTAAAATTTCAGTAATAAAAATAAGTAAACATTTATAAAAATTATTTTATATTAAATTTCTTCAACAAGTCCTCATTGATAATTTAATAGGTAACTATTTGTAAAATGATAAGTTTTGTTATTGGCTTTAAAAATTACTCTTGATAATTTGATGAGTAAATTTGCAAAATAACAAGCTTATATGATCTTTTGACATGTAAGCTTTTAGTGATAAAAATAAGTAAACATTTATGAAAAAATCATTCCATATGAAATTTATTTAATAAGTTCTCATTAATAATTTAACAAGTAACCATTTATGAAATAACAAATCTCATTGTTAGCTCTTAAAATTTTTCTTGATAACTTAAGAAGTAAATTTTAGCCAATAACAAGTTCACATGAGCTTTTGACAAGTAAAATTTGAGTAATAAAAATAAGTAAACAATTATAAAAATCACTTCATATTAAATTTTCTTAACGAGTCCGCTTTGATAATTTAACAGGCAATGATTTGTGAAATAACAAGTTCTGTTATTGGTTTTGAAAATGTCTCTTAATAATTTGACAAGTAAATTTTAGCAAAATAATAAGTTCACATAAACTTTTAACATATAAAATTTTAGTAATAAAAACAAGTAAATATTTATAAAACCACTCAATATTAAATTTCTTTAACAAGTCCCTATTAATAATTTAATAAGTGGTCATTTGTGAAATAACAAGTCCCATTACAAGCTTTCAAAATTTCTCTTAATAATTTGACGTGTAAATTTTAGTAAAATATCAAATTTATATGAGCTTTTGACATATAAAATTTTAACAATAAAAAATTAAATATTTATAAAAATTACTCTATATTAAATTTTTTCAACAAGTCTCGATTGATAATTTAACATGTAATGATTTGGAAAATGACTAGTTCCATTTTTGGCTTTGAAAAGCTCATGTGGTGAAGTTAAGAAGTACAACTTAGAGACAACTTTTTGTTTAGTGATTAAAAGACCAGGCATAGATAGGCCACCTAAGTTTAAGAGAATATATGAGCGCATAAGAGCTATGAAGTATGGTTTTATAACTGGTTGTAGACCTGTTATTGACTCAGATGGATATTTTTTGAAGGGTCCATATGGAGGAATGTTACTTATGGCTGTTGTATATGATCCTAATGACCAATACTTCCCTTTAGCTTGGGCAATAGTTGAGAGAGAGAATAAAGATTCATGGATCTGCTTTTAAAAAATTATCTTTGATGACATTGGAAGTGTTCAACAAAAAAGATGGTTGTTCATATATGGTCAATAAAAGGTATTTTATTCTACATGTATTTATTTATTTTATTCCCCTATTTGCTTTTTTTTAATTTCATCTTATTGTCATTATTCATTGATCAATTATGTGTAGGGCCTAGTTCTTGCTTTTAAAGAGTTACTTGAAGGTGTAGAGCATTGCTTTTGTGTGTGCTATTTATATGCAAATATCAAGGCAAAATATGGAGGAGCCACCATAGTTCGTGACTTAGTACTTCATGTGATAAAAGCCACATATGAAGCAAAAAGGAAGTAGTGAATGGATGAGTTGAGAGTAGTTTCAAAGGAAGCCCATGATAATTTAATGGGATTTCCTCTTAGCTGTTAGACCAAGTCTCATTTTAGAGAACATTGCAAATGTGATGCAGTCACTAACAATATTTTAGAGTTATTCAATGGGAGATTGTTGAAGGCAAGATAACTTCCATTTGTCAACATGCTTGATTAGATTTGAACATATCTCATGACACAATCTATTAAAAATTGTATAAAGGTTGAAAAGTATCGAGACAAGGGGACTATGTGTCCAAGACCCCACAAAAGGTTAGACAAAGAGGTGCAAGAATCAAGGAAGTGGATGGTTAGATATGCAGAGCATAATCAATATAAGGCTTTATATCTCTCATAAAAGTTCAAGGTTGATCTAACTAATAAAGGTGTACTTACAATTAGTGGCAATTGAATGGTATTCCTTGTAGGTAATTTTAACAAAACTTTGCATTATAAGCAACTCCCTCCATTTCTATTTGTAGGAGAAAAAAATTTTATCACACAATTTAATAAAATTAATTAATTATATTAATTGTGTCTGAAAATAAAATAATTAAACTATAATACCCTTCATTAATTGTATTAATCAAGTATTCATTAATTATTTTTTATGACTATGAATGATAATATTGTAAGGGGTAATTTAGAAAGTTTGTAATAATTGTTTATTGAAAAATGTGATTTTACTTATATAAAAAAAACTAAGTGTTAATTTTTCTTATAAATAAAAACAGGGGG